CCAGAAGACTTGAAGCATTGTAATGTATACCTGAGATTTCTGTGACCTCTTGCTTCTGCTTGCTTTAGGCTGTCTTTGTGGCTGTGCTGTTGACACTGACTGTGTTTGCTGYGTAAGACTTGCCATGCTGACATTATCCAAAAGCTTGCTGATTGGGCCAAGATGGTTTTGATTGGCGCTTGTTGGCAGTGATATGTGCATCAAGGATGACAGGTCATTGGTGGTATGTGATTGGTCAGATGATCTTGATGGACTCTGGAGCTTTGAGTGGATTATAGCCATGTCGACACTRTGATTTAAGAATATTCCATAATAATCAGATGTATAATGATTGAAGTGATAACCATCTGAATACTCATATTTAAGCCACTCAGAGAACATGTCTGTCCTCCATTGCATATGTTAATACAAAAATCTAAAAACATCTTTCTCATTCGCCATGCAAAATACATTCATCAGTACTTTTTGAGAACAATGKGTCCGCCATCTTAAAAAGGAAGACTGAAATATCTATATTGTGCATTAGAACACATTTCATAGTTGCTAAGGCAACTTATCTATCATTATATMGCATAAAAATAACTTGACATTAGCTGAGAAGTTTTTAAATCCTTTAGGAGTTATAATTTAGTGATTCAAAAAGTGGGACGGTCCCACTTTTCAAGATGGCGGACGCATTGTTCTCCGAAAGTAATGATGAATGTTTTTGTAAACACATTAAATCATGCCTTTCAGGGGTGAATGTTGTGTTATCACTAGATTGTTCTCTGCTGGCCGGTGTCACTGCAGTCCCATTTGTTGTGACAGTCTCTCCATTCCCCCACGGCTGATCTTTACTGTCTGTAGTCCAGCTATTGTTGGATTGTGAGACTGAGCTGAATAAAGATGACACGCTTGTTGGTGCAACAGGCTGTCAGATAAAAGAACATTAATGAAAGGCTATTAATAATATTGTATTAATTTGAAAAACAAGAATACAGCTTTATGRCATGAGTTAACCAACCTCTTTGACTGAAGCTGGCGGAGGATGGATRTAGGTGTCATTTTCCCATGTTTCAGTTGGTTGTGTTGTATCTTCCCAAGCTGAATCAGAAAAACAAATACAATCAATGAACAACAATCATATTAGCTATGTAGTTAAGATAAGATGGTCTGCTATGCCAAACACTATGAAAATGCTAAAGAGAGCAAATCAACACTTAATAAAATAGCCCAGTAGCTCCCAATATAAACATGACCTAAAGATCTGTATGAGAATAACTAGCCTATAGTGATACTTATCGAAGTTTATATCTCATGAATTATTAATGAGTTTGATAAGAAGTTTTGTAAATAGTTGGCTTACATTCAGGCTTATTCTTTAAGTCTTCGTCAGCATCAATGTTATCCCACATTTCAGTCCCTGGAAGCAAACATATCACCTCAGTAAATGTATCATTTCATAAGGGGACAATAAAAGGTTATTTATAATGAAACCTAAAAAAACAAAAGGATCAGTTTAACAATATTTTGRGRATCTTWTTCAATATTTTGTGACAAAAAATATTCTGAATGGCTAACAATTTGAAGGTATTTTCAATTAACAAGAACAAATGAAGTAATTTGGATTATGACTATCTAATGCATATCTTTACATGTTTATGCAAATTAAAAGCAGACCTCCTCAGCTTTGACAACATTGTCCTCCTCTTTCAGACCCCTTGAGAGTAGTATCCTTTGTTTTCAATCAATGTTTGAGAAGATATAAAAATACACAAAACAATATAACAAAGAATCCTTCTCAAGGAGTCTGAAAAGAGACGGATATTTMTTGTTGACCAAGGATAGAAATAATAGGATAGAAATGTTAGTTTATGAAATCAGTACCATTCACTGTAGGTCCATTGGAAGAAGGCTGAGGAACTGGTGGTCCACCTTTACCAATTCTACCACCACGACCACGRGATGATGAACGACTATAATCACAAACAAAYATTAATGGAAAACAYTGAGAAAAAAATCCATATTTTKGATAAAAAATAAGCCAACAACTATATACTATATATACCCTCTATTTCCTCCCCCTCGTCCACGTCGGCTAGGTCCACCTATAGAAATAAACAGCATATAAGAGCATTCATATTCATATAAGCATTTATATTATGCAGAATAAATGAATGTCATCAGCATCATACAGGCGTTTTACCTCTTCCTGATGGTGTTCGTCGATCAGATGATGATCTGTCATCACGTAAACCTCTACCACGGCCATTTTCTGGGGGTCGATTTTCATCATTATCTTTATGATCTGATTCCCAAGATGATTTATCTGATGGTCTGTTTCGCCCTGGTGATGAACACATGGATTAAGTTCACCAGCTGTCCTTTACTTTACTTCACATGATAGCTTAGTAGATATTACAATGTTTGGATTGTATGCATATTGTGTATCATTTTACATTATATTATAGCTATCATAGTACACGTTCTCTGATTGTTCAAATGCTACTGTTTATTTCACCGGTAAAAGCACAGATGCGAAAATGCTATTATAAAAGCAATAAACAGTATCTTTTTGTGCCTTTCTGGTGAAATAAACTACTTGTGATATTGGAAAAACACTCWACAGGCTGAAAATCTCCTGTCTCCCTCTTAAGAACTTTTACACGTTTTTCTTGTTCTCCCAACATCATGTGTGGTTTATTTCACCAGGAACACAWGAAAATGTGTTGTTTATTGTTTATTGCTTAAGTAAAACTAAMTGTGACAAAGTACAAAATATTATTAATATTAACACAAATAATTACCATACTTAAATAATAATTATCAAATATTCTAATCACTTATTACCTCCCCTGGAACCTCTGGTCTGTCTAGGTGCGTCTTTTTGTTGTTTTCCAGTAGTGTTAATACTGTCAATCCCCTGCGTCGTACCAGATCCTCCCTGATGTTTCTTTTTGCGGTTGCTGGATATGACCCATTCATTCTAGCACAAAGCAAATACTATTATATGATGCCAATACTCATGGTTATTGAAGCAAAAAAATCATCAAGAGATAGAAACATTTGGAAATAGTTTAAAATGTGAATAAAAAGGGCCACTGTTCACAAGCATTCAATGTGTCTTTAACAAAAGCTAGAAAGTGATGCTGGTGGACCATGGCCCTTTAAGACAGAATAAGTTCCAACATGTACATTTTTCGATCAGTTCTGATCTCTGTCTGTTTTGAACTTTTTGATTTTTACAGCAGAGCACTACCTGATCAAGTCGTCCTTCAAGCAAAGAGTTGATGGTTAATTCTGTGTCATAATTGCAATCATGCAGCGCAACAGAAACCTCATCATGGCTCCGGCCTGTAAGTTCTATAACCTGAAAATTAATAGTTATCTAAATGAACCAACTGCTACAGACAACAAGCAATAATTTCAAACTAACTTGTCTGATTTGCTCTTGAACTACTTTTGATTCTTCATTTCCAAGAAGCTGTGCGTAGCGGATCTGTTCAGCTGTTGGCTGCAATATAAATAAAACATATCATTCATTGTTACATACTTGATACATGATAAAAAGAAAAAAATAGTAATCAACAAAAGCAGTGAGGTGAAAAAGTAAATAAAAATATGACCTTTCCACAACAACTGCGCACAACACCAATCACATTAAAATCAAATGAAAATTATTACATTTTGGACACTGATACTTTCTTTACTCAACTGAAGGATTATCACTTTAAAATGTCTATTACTAAAGCTCATTATACTCCACGTGTTTCCACAGTTTCAAACATGCAGCCCACATTAGATCAAACAACAAGGTCATATATCATCTTACAGATAACTTAACAAAATGATACTTTTTATCGTTCGATCTTGATTTACAATGTTCTGTATAAAAATATGGTAGCTTTTGCACTTCTTGCGCTGTCTCTTCCCGTATCCCATATTTCAATTAGCAGCTGAATTGGTAAAAGATYGACCTACCTTTTTTGTGTGTGAGTCTGTGGGTTGTTTTATTTGTGAAGTTGTCTGTGTCTGTGTCCCTCCTTTCATTATATAAACAGTCTATATTACAAGCTATATACAATGTTCCTAAAAACAAATATAAATTACATATTAGTATATTGACATTCATTAGTGAATATAAGAGGGCACCTTAATGGGAGGGTCCCCTATGTAGTCTATAGAGGTCCTCTACTAAAGGGACACAGAYCCACACATGAATGCCTTTAACTAACCAGCCATGCATGTCATAAGTACTCATGATAGTTTGTACATATGTACAATAATTGTAAATGTAACAGTACAATAGTATGAAAGTATCTGTGTTAATTGCTTCTTGCATACTTCTAACTGTCAGTTAGGAGAATAAAAATTCAATGGAAAATTTTGAAAAGTGAAATAGAAAAAGTGAAATTGAAGAAAAGATTTTTAGGGTAAGAGAGAAAATTAATGAGACAATCTATAAGGAATTATTTTTGAATTGCATGTTATTTTAAACGTGWATGTCTTATAATAGACCTTGAAAGTTTCGAAACAAACTATCTCAACAAACCTGAACTCTGACATCGGAAATATAATCGTTCTAAACAAAAATAGCACAAGATGAGACAAGAAGCTAGAAATTGATAAATCCGTTTTGCACTGCTTGAATACCAATAAACGAGGATTAAACTATCTTGAATTAATAACTAAGTCTTATATTCCGCAAAACTTTCCACGATCGTATTRTTGATGAAGATAAATTCATTTTAGAGGTGTAATAATATTTATAGAATCATTTTAATTCCATACAGGAGAAAATTAGTACAAAAAGCATAATCAAAATAATACTGTGCCTTTTGTAAGACGTGTAAGCAAATTACTTAAAAAAGGATGCACTAAAATGATGCGAAACAACAAGATATGGATTGAGTCATGTACGGAAATGGATCCCCGAGACAGTTTGACAATACTCCTTTGAGGTTTTTCGCTTCTTGATTTGCTGTAAAACATCTCAGTAATAAAACACGCACATCACTGACCAGCTCCACTAAATATTAGTATCCATCGCAGAAACCATATCCACATGGGTAAAATTGGACGATAGAAATGCAGAAAAAAGACAACAGSCGAATTCATAATGTCAAACCGGCCCACTAACTTGGACTTGGAAACTTCGCAAATACGCGTGAAAATTTCGTTTTTCCAGGAAAACTGTAGATCCATGAAGCTAAACTAAGCTTTGGTGATCAATGAACTTTCCAATGATATCGAAAACTAGCAATAAAACGTAATCGTAGATGGTCCATCGTTAGTTTTCAACCACACAGCGGACTGTCCTTGACCTTCCTCAAGAAGCGAGGCCGACATTAAAACTCTATAATTCTCCGTTTTCCATGCGAGAAATACACAATAAACACTAGCAATCGCTGGGCCGAAGAATTAACTTTGACTCCATAATAACAATTATGATGAAATCTGGCGAATTACTTACGTATATTTCGGCAGAAAAGTCGAAAAACCAAGCAATGTTACTTTGAACATGCATGTGAGCACAATACATGCGTTGAGCGAATATGCGGTCACGTGCCAGCGGTTGGCGGGCTGGACGCGGGAAACTGGGGGAGCTCGGTCCCAGGTCTACGGCATTCGAATTCGCAGAAAAACACCGTATATGTGAGGAGTATAATTTCATCACGGAAAGGAATTTTATCAATTTTATCTCGTGTTTTCGATGTAATTGCCTATGATATTGACTTGAGTTTGTTATTATTTTTGTTGACGTGACTTTTAAATCATGATGTATTTCCGGTTCTAATTCAATGAAATTTACAACCGGAAATAAAACAAAAATACAGTCGAATGTATATCCTATAAAAATAACACGATAATTAACATCAAATTCTAAACCCAAAAACCGTCAACTGAATTTACATATAAGAGTGGCCAAGAAAGTAATTTCGGTTTGGACATCAATCATCATTTTCACGTTTCATTTTCATTTGAGACGGCCTCCAGCTATGAGCAAATGAGGTCCATTTTTTTGCCATAATGGCACTTAATGAGGTCTCAAGCAAAAATGACTCACAGGCTGTAGGGGACTTTCACATCTGTTGTTTTAAATTGATGTTTTGCTTATTACAAAGGACTAAAGGAATACAATTTGCAAGTCAGCATTTAGACTGCATGCTAGTCAGCAAATTCGTAACTGCAGTAGTCATAATTTAAAACAGCAAAGACTATTTGAACCTCTAAGTGAATATTATATATTCAATAYAAAAAAAAGGTCCCTACTGCAAAGCAGCAATACTGCAACCTCAAGCAATTTTGTGTTCATCTAATGATTGATTCCCTTGATTTTCATTTATTGAATGATTGGTTGATTGAATGATTGTATGATTACATGAATTAATTGATTGGTCATGATATTGGTCAAAATATTCTATAATTGAATGCACGATGGACTGGTTGATTTGATTGATTGGTTGTGTGATTTACCATAGTTAATTGACTGATTGATTGATTGATATTTTCTTACTGAAGAAAGTTGAATCAAACAACACTTTTACATTAAATCAATTTTAATGGTTTCAAATAAAACATTAAATAAATTAAAGTTAATACAGTTTGGTTGTTTGCCTGCAGACGGACCAAACAGTGTCTTTATGCACACACAAGCAACATTAATCATCCTTTGTTTCCTTTCATTTTCTAGAAATATACTACTGTATGTATAATTCCAGAAAGACATAAAAACATCAAAGAAACTTTTGCAGAAGGAAGCTTCCCCAATAAGATGGACAAAAATAAAAAAACCCCTGCAAATTAACTGCATTTTTTTTCTTTTTGAACTCAATACATGCAAATATAGATAATATTACCACATGACTAAGAAAACCTCCTCCTTTATCATTGTGGAATGTGGCCAGCAAACTAAGCATATAATACTTTGCAGTTATACCTGGTGWAGTCAGAGACATGGAGTTAGAATGTTTACTGGGAGAATGGACATCAAAAGAAACTGTCATGTTTTCACATATATTCAATACTCAGGTTCAGTGACCATAAAAGCATTGAACAGAGGCATCAAGATACAGCAAGCATAAAAGAAAAAGATATCTCCTTAGKKGTGCCTCTGTTCAATGGTTTGTTGTTTGTGGTCATACATGCAAACATCTCCCTCAGTCTACATCAGATACAACTTCAATTTAGTGAACCAACTTTTGCTTTACATGAAATAATATTTTGATATATGCAAATCAATCATACTCAATATACTTTGAGTAATTTTTAGTCTGGATTGGATCCGTGCTTGCTGTCAGTTGTGTATCAATTAATATATTTGCTTATATATCAAGGTATACTCAGTTTAATCTCTACACCAGAGCTGTCAACATTTCCAGACTAGCCATGATTCCAACTAAATTAGGGGGTGGGGGGGAAGGGCATTTGAGAAGCAGAAACAAAGATGTCACTTTATTTATCTCAAGGTATCTGGAATTGACAGCCCTGCTACAGTTTATTATTATTCATATTTAAAATAAATTATTACATTATACCATTATATCAACAATTATTCATTACCTAAGCCTGGTTCATACTAGCTCAAAATGAGAAACAATTCTTTTGTTTCTTTTTTTTAAAATAATACTAACTTAAGTAAGTTTATCATTATTTTGTAATTGTACATATTTTATTATTCTATCAATTGTTTCTGATTTTGACATTAGAAAGAACCAAGCTTTAGATTAAAAGATATATTTATCTAAAGGGCCCACAAAGGCCTACAAATCTGCACTAAACGAGATCATTAACGAACTCTTCATGCTGCAGCATCATCATTTTGACTTTGAATTTATACAACTGCTTAAATTATGTGGATATATGAACAAAGTGCTATCTATAAACAGACAGACACAGMATGGCGTTTGGTTACAAATTAAACACACATTTCTTTATAATGTAAATACTATGCGCACAGCTATTTCGAAAAAGGTTGTTTTTGATCACTACATCGTGTGGCAATAGAAATTTTATTTTTAAATGYTTTCATATYAACAGATTAACTCTGGGTCTGAATTAAGCCAGAATTATTATTTTTATCCACTTTTGATGATGATAACTTTTTTGAAACAGCTGAAACTGCTATCTAATAGTAATGTTATGCGACAGCAAACAATTTGTTTTATACAAATGTGTGCAATTGTGTTATTCATACATTTTTACAGTATTAAATTTGATAAACTTGGGCATTGATAAGTACTGTCTATCACYGATTAATTGCTGTTGAGTGGCAAAATAAAGATACATACTAACTACATAAAAATAACAATCATTATGTTGTGTTTTAGTGTCTGTAAACCAGGTATAAATCAACCCAATATCATATGTTGTTAAAAGCTAGTGAGAGTGGCCTACAATTAAGGGAAGATGTAAAGAATGATAAAGAAAGAAATATGGTATATCATTCCGCGTATATTTAAAGATTAATTGGAATGTAATAATATTACCTTTACATAAACACTAAATATCCTTAAATACGTCAATTAAACTTAAACTTCATACCTAAACTAACAATAACTTTACCCATAATAAGGTAATAAACCTAAGTGTGGTGAAAGATTTTTAATATTCCACATAATCAAGTCACATTTTGCTAAACATGACAAGCTTGAATGCGTTCGCTTGAATGGAATACCTATTTTGATTTTTGTAATCAATTTAATTTTAAACAATTAGGAATTTTTCATTTTCAAGCTGTATTTCAAGCTGTTGGTCTTAACTAAGATTTTCAAATCTAGTTGCAATTTGTTCTTGTTTCAAACACAAGAAAACATTTTAAGAGGTTTTGAGAAAAGGGATTTCAAGAAAGGCGGTCAATAAATCAAGAGCGAGATGCTACAAAAGTCAATTTTTAAGTCATAGTCATACACAATCATATAGAAACAGAAACCGATAAGGGACTTGAAACGTGTGACACCCATACATTTCTTTAGTACCAAGTGTCAAATTATTCAAAGCTCATTAAAAAATTTGAAAACGAACATGGTATGACCATACTATGACCATAATTGGCCCTTTCTGGTTGGCTATAAGATAAATTTAATTGTTCCAAATAAGGAAATGAGATGCAAATTAGATTTGAATATTCCAACGGTTGGCATGGTATTACACATTTCAAGTCCTTATAGGTTTCTGATAGAAACCAATACCATCAGATATCCTATTAAATATCAGATAGTTCAGTCTGTAGTTAGCGTTATTGAGAAAAGCTAAATATTGACTATTAAAGAGTTTTTTTCAATACTTTTAACTATAATATTTAGCTATATTCATTACATAGCTATTTTTGATATAAGTTTTATTGCATTCAATTAACTGAGTTCAGGTAAATATTGAATATATTAAGATGCCATCAAACTGTACATTATAGAGTATATCTCATATAAGTAAGAAACTGATCTTACTGCACTATCATTCCAAGTTGCTTGTAAGTCTAAATTTAGGGAAGGAATTGTTGCTTTTGTTCCATGCACTGAATGCAAGTGGCTGCAACTAGTACTGTCTGTTTCCTACTAATACTGTATATCAATGTCAGTAATCCTGCAGTTTTAATATRCTAACAAAAAAGCAGCAAAGAAACAGAAATATCTAGTAAAGAATATGCAAAGAGCCAATCAAAAATGACATTGCAAGTTATGACATATATCTTGATCAATACTTTGACAGGGGAGTGTATTAAATTAAGGAATGGCAGGAGTTAATATGTCAGAAACATTCATGATACATTCGTACATTTGTGTTAGGAGGGTGCCTGCTGCAAGAAAGACCATGTCATTTAATTGCTTAATGAACAAAACACTACTAACATTTCTAAAATATTTCTGTCTGCTAGCATCATTTCTGTTCTCTTTGTCTGATATCACTAGTAAGGGTATTTTAACATGATAAACAGGATTGACCAGTTTTCAAATCAAGTATTAAATGCACACATAGTGTAGGGAATAAAAATGTAGGGATTACTAAAGTTTACCATGACTGTCATTCAAGTTATTGACTATGCATTTTTCCAGTTTTTATGCCACCCTTTATAACAACTTTTTAACACACTATATACTCATCATTTTTACTCTCAATTAAATGCTATTGCTCTGAACAAGAACAATCAATGATCAAAGAATAAATTCTCACTTAAGCTAAACAAAAGGAGAATAATTTCAATCATTAATTCAGTATTAAACTAACACAATTCTCATACAGTCCTTTATATTTCTTACATACATACAATTGGAACATGCAATAGTAATCAATTTTCAAATTCACCTTGCAATTCGTTATGTTTAGAAGGAGAATTTGAAATTTGATCACCTATGAATACAATGCATGTGACCATTCAAATTTCTCCATCAATATGCCCATATTATAAATAATATACATGTCAGATAAGGTTACCATAACAACACCAGGGACCAGTTGTACAAAGGGTCCATAGAGTTGTCCACCACAAAAAGTATACCCATTCTATAGATAGATTTTATCTAGTGGATAGCACTAGTCACCCTTCATACAACTKGTCCCACAAGAGATTCTACCGTGAACACACAAGAGCTGCCAATGTACCAATACCTAGAGTTGCAATAAATACACCTTTCCACCAAGAACTGTCATTTGTTTTTTCCTGGAATTGTCTGTTCAGTCCCTCCTGAATAGTATAAAATCAAAAATGTTYTTAAACATTGAATAATAGATGTGGAGAAGATGATCTAAAATTAGACTTATGAATGTTTAATGAATACATAGAATTGTAAATTATAATTGATAACACTAGATAGATATTACTCCAGGGAATAATTAATAACATAAGGTTTAAACTTAAACGTTGTCATGGAGACTTTACTAATTAAATGCATATAAAATAAGAGTATTGTTAATACACAATAGATAACGACATGAAAGTTTACAAACAATATCAAAACTCTTCCAATCACTCCATTGAAAATACTATAACATAATTACATAAGTTTGATAGGAATATGACTGAAAATCTATCAAAAATGATAAATAGTGGTCTGTAATAATTGCTATATCCTTCTAGAAAGAGGCAAACTGTCATCCATGACAAAAATGCAATCTYAGGAATTCAAACAGGACTAAACTTGTCATWCTCAAAGACATAATTACCATACATAAACAACAGAAAATCACAAGATTTCGCTGGTTGACACATTTTGAATCTTTGGCTTTATCGAAAGTATAAAAAGCCTGCCTGAAATATCTCAAAAGTGAAAGAAAATATAAGAAAAAGGTAAATTTTAATATTCACAAAAATGTTAGTAATTTTAATAGTACAAAAGATGTAATCATATAATGTGGTCGAAATATGTTCCAAAACTGAAAAACCTTACAGAAATTTAAGATGAGCAAAATGAAAGTATGAATTTTAAGCTGTTCAACGCCTACAGGCTCTTGAACTTCCTGTTCTAGTTTGGCTAGAGCAAAATATTGAAGAAAAAATATTATTTTCACTAAAAATTCTTTAATAAATAACTAAATTTTAATAGTTGTTTCCCACACTCATTATGGAAAATAATATGTTCTTTAATGCTTCTGGCAATACTTTTTGAATAATTGGAGAATTTTTTCATCGAATTTCAAGTGGAGAAACCGACCTATTACATTATGTTTGTTTTTAGGAGAATATCATGAGATAGCCACTGGTTTTTCACGAGATATTTTATACCGTTAAGAAAATGCTAGAGAAAAATCCATGATGACTTTAGAAAATGAAAGTGGTTTTYGAATTTATGAATCATTCAAATCTGGTAAAATCTCAATATTTTTTCGAGAATTTTCACACTTTTTCTCACGATAGTAATTTTGGGGCAATTTTGCTTGCACAGGGGTAGTCCAACCTCTTTCAAAAAGAATTCTAAATAATTAAATAATCTAAATTTAGAACACAACTTTAAGAAGAAAATTATATTGAAAGAAATACTAACCCATCCGCCTTCATTGTCTATCCAGTCACTRAGTCCACCAACATACTTGGCTACCCAACTGACCACGAGATCGACTAAGTCCTTCATATTATGGTGCTCGCAGTATACAGCGAGCCGTCCACCAAAAGCATACAATACAACAATTCTTCCCCAATTTATCCCATCGGCAAAAACTTCACTAGCTATTTCCACAAATGTTGCGTAAGCGGTGGTTCTAGAGAGGTTTAGTTTATGACATAAATGGTTCAATAGTGTGGGGTATTGCTCCTCTATTTTGTCCGCCAATTTTCGCAAAGTTTCCGCTACTGAGTTCGCAGGCATTGGGTTTTTTCCGAGCCGGTATGTGATAAAATCCTTGGCTAGTAGTTCCGATTGCTTCGCAATTTCAGGATAGAAAGTTCTTGGGTCATCTGAGCGGTATTCCATCAGCTTGTGGATTTTGGTGAATTTTTGAATAATATTTCGATCAACAGACCACACACAAATTCAGTTGTAGTCTCCACTTGTTTTACTCCGCCATTCTTCGTTGATTTGTTGGTGAAAATTCTGTTTTCAAGCAAAAATATTACATCATATTGAATAAAAAGACAAGTTGTACATGGTTGCTTAGCCGGAGGTGGATTTTAGAGCAAGGAGAGCGATTTGGACGGCAGAAAAAAGCTTTCCAATCATCAGCACATTCAGAACATGAACCTGAAGCCGCAGTGTATGCCGAACAACGAGTGATATTTATAGATTTCAAATGGCTCTCTCTGATTGGTCAATACTCGTAAATASCATTTACATTTGACTTTTCTGGGAATTTCGGATTTTGTTAATTCGAATAAAAAATATATACTAAATGGAAACTCAGTGAATATAGCTTCTAAATAAATATTTTTTTACATATTTTTTAGGGATGGATATATTTTTTGATACATTCATTTAGGGGAATTTACTAGTATTTGATGACGTAGYGTGGTTCCATGACTCATGCGCATTATTGTCGAAGCCCTTTGGGGTCATGTCTAATCAAGTCAGAAATATTCAATTTTGATTGGTCAGTTGAACATGACGCAGTTCTAAATATAGCAAGCATTTTTCTTTCGAAAAAATTTTTGAGAGGAAAATAGAAACAAACATTGGACCTCGTCGTGGCGAGAGTTTGACTGAATATAGCRCTAAAACCCATTGAAAATACCCGTGTAGGTGACTTCTTATAAAGGACGGCTCAAAATTCTTGTTAAAACAAGAGAAAGTACCAAGAAACCTCACTTAGAGAAGAAAATACGAAATTCGCTCCAAAGCGCGCGACATTTTGTTGCTCGAAGGCTACATCGTTGAGAAAGACTTCGAATTTTTCACCAAAGCGTGAATCAAGAAATCCTCAGAACTCTAGTATATTCAAGCAAGATTGCTTCTGTGTTGTTAAAGGCAAGGTTATCGCATATTTGRACTAGACAATTTGTGCTCACCGGCTGGAGAGATCATCAACACCACTCCTACGTTACAACCTTCGACATAAGACTTTCAAACGCAAAAATGGATAACCTCCAAACCTTTTCAGAACAGCAAAGAAGGGTAAACATGAACATTATACCTAGGACAGGGAATAGCGAGGGAAATTTAGATATGAGAAGAGTTCAAGGACAGGAAATTGGACATCGAATCAACGGTACAACAGAAATGACGCACCAAAATATGGTTGATCTTGTCAACATAAACAATAACAATGTGTGGAGCCCACGTGAGGTAGGCTTGATCTTGAGAGCTATCGGCGACGATTTGAATATGAGAGCATTTATCCGTCACAATCCAACTGGCTAAACTAGGTAGAATATCGAGGGAAACTCTTAATAGAAGGGAACGAATGTGGAAATTCAAACGATATGCGAGCGCACCGCGTTCAACTTCGAAATGTGACGCTATTTTGTCATTGCGGCCTAAGCCATGAACCACCGAAATGGCCCGATTCATCTAATTTACWAGGCAAGGCAATTTATTTGATATTAAGTCAAATTCAGTTTATGTAGTTACGTACGCGCGAAAGTAGTAACGATGCAATTTATCGACGCGAGCCCGGGCAGATTTCTTTTGCGCTCCTGTTACTTGTCAACTCTTTCATTGAAGGAGATCAAATTTGATTCCTAGGAATCGTATTCCATGGAAGCAGTTTAATGCTTGCTTATTATTTGGCCATTTAGTGATTAGAAATTGAAATTATGGCCTTACAACGATTAGATATAGAATGTGTCACAAAACTTTGTACATAGCTTACACGAGCTTGTAAATGCCAAAACATAAATAAGGATAAAAGAGCTATATTGTTGTACAAAGGCCATTAGATGGGATTATTTATGTAGAAATTTGTAGATATGATCCCCCTTAAGATAAGACTAGACTATATTTAATGTCCTTTGACATATGTATATAACCAGACAAAATAAACCTTCCTCTGGTCTATTTTATTCGTTCTTGCTAATTATTTTACAATGAGAAAGGTGGTGCTATTCAAATTTGTTTACAAGGCGCCATGAAATAACATGTTTCCCTTGGAAGTCCTCAGTATTTTCAACGTGTTCACCCAAAAAAACCCTAAAGCACGCTTTAAAATCACTTTTTTTTCTTCAAAAAACTGACACAGAATGTACAGGTGGTTAAAGGCTCAATTTTCCATGAAAAATCCTTGAAAATCCCCGTTTTTACATTCCAATTTCAGTCCAATTACTKTCCAATGCCGACTGGTCCGAAATCGTACAAATCTTCATCAAACTTAACATATAAAGTTCCCTAAATGAAACGAGTTCAGACAAGACACCTGAGAAAGTGTTTTTACATAGTTTTTGCTAATTCAGCTGTTTTGATCCAGTATTTTTGAACAATTTTCAGTTTCTTTTCATTATGTACATTTTGATCTCACTTTTATTATTGTGACAGCTTGATGAAAGTCAAGGTTACACTTACGTGTCGCTAGCTCTTCAGATGGATGTTTTTTTTTATTCGTTTCATATACGACCAAAAGCATGTGAGAATCAAGTTTGCCAAAAATATTTTATGACTGAATAAATGGCTAAAATGTTTATACCAGGACATGAAATCAGCGAAAAAAGGACCCAAATACGTGATTTTACATGCCGTGACTTTACCACAACTTCGCGGGAGAAACAAGCGCCAAATGTATATGAGTCACGTGCCCTTTATTTGTTCTTATTTGACGTCCAGCGCGGGAAACTGCACCTCTGAAGTATTCTCAACCTAAAAATACATTATTATTATTATTTTAAGAGCGAAAATTAAACTCTTTATAAAAAAATAGAAATCTATAAATTTTGGAGTTTAAAACACACTTTTGTGGCATTAAATAATTCAGTACCATTTCAGTTGGTAGCATTGTTGTGATTGTTTTCTTCACGTAGATTGAAATACTGAGTGGGCTGAATTCATAAACGGTTTGCTAAATTGAAAACAATTTCGGGTGATATTCAAAATTCTTGGATGATAATGATCCTGTTCATGGTGGTCAGTATGGACCTAGAAATGACCATATGATATGATCTGATATCAGTGAATGATGATGAAAATCGCTTATATTTTGGCCTAATTTTCCTGAAAAAAAAAATACTTGAAAATAATATAAAACACTTTTAGCTGCTTAAAATCGAATACCTATATTGTGGTCCGGTGTGAAAAGTGACAGAAATTTTCACAAAAAATCCAATGCGCAGAGCTGGTATGTGCGCAAGAAACAATATGGTGCGCCATTCTACACAGRAAGACCAAACCAAGTGCTCTTCCTTTTGCCGCACACTTGATCATGATTATCAAGAAACATGGAAGTGTTTTAAAGCAAGAATAAACTATTTTAAGAAAGTGTTAAGGAATCATCAGATCATGCGATATAAAGTCTTACATAATGCGGTCTGTCCAGACCTGTCTTTAGTCGTTTACACTAATCTGTTCTCTGATTGGTTCGCTCTCGGCACATCTATGATGTACACACGTGCGRGGAAATMTCTCCGGCTTGTCACGGAAGAAACTGAAAGTCTCTGAAAGCCGATTTTACGCGTGAACTTTTCGTCGATTTTCTTCTTTTCCTAGCTCCTCTTCCTTCCGACATATTCTAATCCTTCTTCTGTGTATGGTTCTTGTTCATCTTCGTCATTTGTTCTCTTCATGTTCTCTTTAAGCAGTGAATAAACTGTTAAGGGGGTTAATCATCTATGGTCTAGGGTCTATGAGCTTCTCCCTGTCTTTTTAGCTAGCGCGAAGTTAGGGCCCCCGGAATCTATGCGACGCCTCTGCTTCACAGAACCGTCTTAGGGAAATCGTTCCAATCTTTTTCAAGCCATCCACTTGTAGAAGGCGTTCCTTGCGATTTCTTTGGATTTTTTTCAGTTGAAAATAGAAAATTTTCTATGGAGAAAAACAAACAAAGTAACAACAGAAAAGAAAAAGAAGAAAAGAAAAAAAGGAAGAAAAGAAAACAAGAAACAAACGAAAAAGAAACAAGAAACAAGCAAAAAAGAGAAATTCCAGCAGCAGGACTCGAACTCAGGACTTTAACTTCAGGAAAAGATGTACCCCCCCTGGCATACATAAGAAATAATGAAAATAAAAAACTAAAAAGATGGGACGATTCCCCCGAGACATTCTATGAAGCTGAGGCGGCGAATCGGCTTACGTTACGGTTAGAGATTTCGGCTCTTCCACGCTATCCCGAGTGAACATAAAACTTAGTCTTAACCAAAAGGCCAGGGAGTGAGGGGGTAGCCGCCCACTAGAGCATACCTTTAGCTACCCTCTTAGACCATCGTACTATGAAGACACTTGTAGAGTATAACATCTAATTGGGGTAGTCTATTCGGTGAATTTCTATGCTAATATATGACGTCACTAAAATCCTCTGGGAGTAGCGAACCAATTAGAGCTCAGCTCAGTAATAAGTGAATGATACAGGGTTTTCATAATCATTCTTCAGTGGATTGATCATTTTATGGGGGTGGGGGTGAGTGCTGAGTGTTGTTGCGGTCGAATACCGATGTGCTCGCGGTAATAATGTGACGCTTTCACCGAGCTGTTCAATTGTCGTTATTGTTTTCCAAATCATCACAGGAAAAGATGTACAGTTCTTGTATCAGACAGATATTGCTAGTATTCAAATAAATAGCACAACAAAAATTTCTACAAATTCTTAAAGTAAGTGGTTTACAGTCAAGATACTAGCTGTTRTCAAAGATTTGCCGGGATTCAACGAAACGACCTCTGAAACTCCAACATTATACTCGAACTCTCCACGTTTTGATGACATAAAAGTTTACAACTGGATTAATATTGATTATCAAATCATTATTAAATCTAAATATAGTGTCAATGTTACATGTAATAATTGAAGAGGATCAATGATAATCCGTATAAATTTGATAAAGAAACTGCTGCCGGAGAGTGCGCAGGAGTTTCAATCCTCAACAATGCGAAAAGGCCTCTAAAATGTAATTCAGGCGAAAGTGAGCCTGCAGGAGATTTTACTCTGGCTCGATCCTCTGCAACCACTGGATCGTAGCTTTTGTCTTTGTGAAATAGTATGGTAGACTTTTGGGCGGCCTTTATAATATTGATTACCGTTCATATCATGCTATTAATCATTTTAATACGTGATGTGTCAGTCAGCAAATCCTTGTAGGATAAAAAGTAGATTMTCAGTATCAAAAAACATTTAATAAAATCCAAATTATTTTATGGTGAGTTTTGTTTTGGACTTGCAAAAGAAGCACACATATATATGCCATAAATTCCATATTGCTGTTCAGAAGTTTATGTGATCAAGGCTTTATACGTAAAGAAAAAAGAAAAAGAAACTATGGATTCTCTAAAACTAGAATTACTTGCGCCATGAAGACTTTTTTCGGATAGAAACACCTCATCCGGCTTTTAATGAATCGATAATGATCAGACCCGGATATGCCAGTAGGTCATTGCTGTACCATTTCAGACATAGGAAATTGATAAGTTGCTGCTCTTTACCAAAAACTGGGGGGGGGGGATTTTCAGGTAAGTGTGCGCTTACGTGATTTATGGCACAAACATTTTGATAAGTATTTCCTTACCAATCATTTCATAAGCTAGTGCGAGTTACAGCTTTCAATATGTTCATATCTCACAACATGTTATGCATATGACGTCACATAATTGTAAAATTATTTTTTGTAYAAAAATGTCCCTTAAAAAGTATATTTTATTAAAGATTTAAGTCAATTKAAAATTTTCTTTGGGAATGCATTTTATTGTCAAGAATATAGCAAGAAGWATGACTTTTTGCAAAGGCCGAGTCCAGACGGAATGTTTGACGTCAGTTTATGACGTCGAACCCCGCTGAGTAAAATAATTCTGATCAAGCAAATTGCGGAAAGATTGTTAAATTGGTATCGTTCTATTCACCGCTTTACGTTGAAAGGTCAATCTTTAAAAAGCCAAAGAGCTATTCTTCTCCCTTGTAATGTAGAAGGCCGTCGAAATACCCAACAAAACTGCGTGCTAGTCTGAAAGTGGCATTTTGATATCGCATGACAGTCGACGACGCTCGTCCAAGTTGCTTCAAGACAGAATGGACGATATTTGGATTTTATGGCTTGTATTTGTAACGTTTAATTCATGTCTTTGTAGTCCTGAAGAGTCGCAATATAAATGTAAGTATTACCCTTCAGTTCCATTGTAATTTCCAGCTGAAACGATAAGTAGAAAGTGAAGAAAGTCACAGTGCTTTGATGTGTATGTCACGACTCCGTTGTCAACATGGCGTCAAGAAGTTAGCGAGAAATTTGACTTTCACCAGGAATTAATGTATGAAACAAACTCAGATCGTRTTCATTTTMTTTATTTATTTYAGTGTGCTATCCGCCAAGACTTGGATTCCGCTTTTCGAATGCTGGAGCTAAGCTTGAAATCAAAGGATCTGGCGGATCATGCAGTGGYTGTGATAAACTCAAAAACTGCACCACATTCCATGGTAGTATCCAGATCCAGGGGTTTGGGTTCTTAAAATCCCCTGCAGATGATCCAGTTTTAAAGAAMGAACTATATTTTCCAAAACTGACAGAAATTACTGGGTATTTATTGATTTCTCTACTAAGTGTCAATGTGGATCTCAACGAAGTATTTCCTAATCTAGCAGTAATTCGAGGAGGGAGCTTATTTCTCGATTACTCGCTTGTGATATATATGAATGTTGGCCTCAGACGAATCAATTTACCTTCGCTAAATGTGATTATGAGTGGAGGAATTCGTATCGAAAAGAATTTGAACCTTTGCTATGCGAAGACAATTCGTTGGAAGTCGATAATGAGGGTTAGAGCGGACGATTCTTCGTCACTAGTCATTTCAGAGAACAACAACGATTGTTATGATTTATGCTACAAAGGCAAATGCTTTCCTCCTGCTGGTCACGGCGCCTCAGGGAAACAGTATTGCTGGGCACCAGGGACACCTTACGATTACTCTTGCCAAAATCGTAAGTATTGATCAGAGCAAACATGCCGAGTTGATTTCTCTTTGATCACTGTAATATGGCTCTCAAAGTTCTATTTATAAACTCTACCAAAGTAATCATTATGAAAAGGCGATTTTTAGTTAATTGAATGCAATAAGTCAATTAACACATCATGTTGTGCAATAACACTTCACAGATAGTAGCAATCAAATAATGCTCTACGCAGTTTGCATTTTTAAAAATATTTTCCTTACACGTCCGTCATTTAAATATTGGACCAATATTCATGATGATAAATGATCTGTCAATAAATACCTCCTAATAACTATTCCAAGTACCTTTAATCATACTTTTAATATCTACTGCAGTAGTTTATTATCCTCCATTCTCTAGCAATCTCTTTTCATTTTGCACATTCTTATTTTTCAATCATGGCCGCTTCAGATTTATATATTTCACGCCAAATAAAATCAATAAAGAACTTAATTGACCATTGAAAACATTACACGAAAACGTCCTTTGTTCCACTAATGGAGAACCGAGAAGTGCTAAAAGGTAATGATATTATGTATACAAATCTCAACAAAAGTTACATATGATTCACCTTATAAATCCTCAAAATGATTTACGTTTTTGTCGCTAAAATTGGCTCAGCTCCGTATGGTGCATTTCACAGTCATCTAAATTAATCTATTTTATTTCCGTTTCTACACTTTTATAATATCACGACATGGTTTTGAACTTCTTATTTGCTTTTTTTGAGACAGGAATTGAGCTATCTTGGATGGTTCTTCATTTTCACAACCTAGTTTAAATATTTACACGATAAATCCATTGAAATGTGTTTGACATTTTGAAGGTTATTTTACATTTATGTAAATAATATCACTTCCTGAAGAAAAACAAAAGTGCTTTTGAGTCAACTTTACTGACTAAATAACATAATCATATTGTTTTGATTGGCAGAATGAACTTTTGTTTCTTTTGTTCATTTACTTTATGTAAACATGTGATTTTCATTTCTTTAATTTTTTGCTAATTGTATGATTTTGACTTCCCCTTTAAAAGAAACATTTAGAAGTTTTCTAATCAAGTCCAGACAAGTTTGACATTTGATCCTGCATTTGAAACATAAACAGGAATGAAGAAGCTGTTCAACAAAAAATGAGTGTAAATTTGTCTTTTATCATCAAAAATGCTATATAAATTGATTGTTCTTTTGATGAAAATGGTGTCAGTTCCTCCAATGGTATTCATCTCTTAATAAAGGTCAAACATTAATATCAACATGTTTTTGAGACCATCATAAAAATGTCTTAGTCACTCAGAGTTTCTCTAAGTGGAATTGTGTCCAATTGTAAAAAGCCACCTGAATCTGAGTGTACTAGTTATTGTAGTTAATATTCTTTGTACTTTTATATATTGYCTGGTTTCTGTTGAAGTGCAAAATCTGTGGTATGTTTTGTGTCACTTCATGTGATGCCTTTAGCTGGGAATTGAATCAGAACTACAAAAGYACTATGATTATGATGGCATTATCATCATTGAAATCTAAATTCTCCTTATATTCTCCTAATAGTATCCTGTGACAAACAGTGARAAATTGTTTTTTGATCATTTTGTTGTCTGTTTTGTTACAGTATGTGATACCAAGTGTGGTATATCAGGTTGTGTCACAGGTAGCAGTCAAGTGTGTTGTCATCCACAGTGCCTGGGCGGCTGCTCAAAAGTCAACTCACAATATCACTGTCATGCCTGCAAGAATTTTCGTCTACAAAGTGGCGAATGTGTCAGCAAGTGTCCTGCCGAATTGTTTGAAGTAAGTAGAGTGGAAAATGGAGCAATTATCCCAACCTCATTTCCAGACCCTTTCATTTTGTTAGACCTTGGGAATGAGATTGAATAGTGTTCCAAGTTGGTCAACAAGACCAGTAAGCATGTCTTTTACACCTACAAACATTTTTTCACAATTACCGGTACCCACCACTCAAATTGCTTAGATTAGATACCTTTCAAGATAACAATTCCCCCATGTCCTAATAAATCAAAGTCCTCTACTAATTAATTTTTTGTTTTTGTTTTGTTTTTAATAGATTAATGATTTTGAATGCATAAAAAAGTGTAGAGGAGGTTACCTGGAGCTTGAGGGTAAATGTGTAAAAGACTGCCCCACAGGATACATCAAGAGAGGAGCAGAACAAAGTTCTTTTTTCTTACAAAGGAGTGATCCAGGAAAATGTGAAAAATGTGTTGATAAGCAATGTCCACGAGGTTAGTCTCTTATATATATAATTCAATTAGGTAGTTAGTAATTACTTTGTTGCTATTTGGGTGATTGTCCAATATTTGATTGACAGAGATATTAATTTGTTGATTGAGAAATTATGCAATTTTATTTTTTTTTTATAATATTTAAGCGAAATATGACCACAAATTATGCAATATTATTTAATTAAATGCTTGTTGATTGATTGATTGCTTGTCATCTTTTTTAGTCTGCAAACTTCCAGGATTCAAAAGTAATTGGATACTTGATTCCTTGAGTGCTGTCAGGAAGGTCAAAGGCTGCACCGTYATTGAAGCGAACCTCATCATTCAAATTCGAGGGGGTGGTGGTAAGTTAAATTCGGCATATAGTATATCTATTTCGTAAGCAGAGTATGTCTAAGTATAGTGTATCACAAAGGAAATGAATKATTACATTCTAATATTATAACATTTTAAGAGGTTATATGGATTCATTCTCAAGTCCCATTGTATTTCGCAGGGTCCRTCTCTGAGGAATTAGAAGAAAATCTAGGAATGCTAGAGAAGGTCAAAGGATATATCATGATACAAGAAACAAAAAACTTAGTATCTTTAAAGTTTTTGAAAAACTTAAAGGTTATTCAACCAAGAATTACATATTCTCTGACACAGAAAATATATTTGCCTCTCTTGTTTAATGCAAGGTGAGTAATACAATTTGATATTTTTATGGGATATTTGATCTTATTTATCCCAAAGAGCTCTGCAAAATAGTGGTTGTCCTGGAGGTTAGCCTGGTGTTGTCTGAAGTAAGAACTTTCTGATTGGCTTATWAAAGCACTKCCTTTTTTACCACTTGTCACAAAAGGTCCCACCCATCAACACAAGGGACTTATATTCTTCTATAACAAAACYGGTTCATGCTGACATGGAAACATTTTAGCTCCTTTACTCTAAGTGTTGTTTGTATGTATAAAATGATTGCTATTCTTACTGTTTAATTTTCACAGGTATGCTTTAACCATCATGGATAATCCAAAGCTGGAACAACTGTGGGATATTAACCCTAAGTTAAACATTACTTCAGGGGTTGCTTTAGTGCGCCTGAATCCAAGACTCTGTCCCAGTAAGATTAAACCACTTATAGATATCTTGGAAAAASCAAATAAGACCAGTGACATCTCCATGACAACAAATGGCAATGATGTACCATGTATGTATAATGATTTCCTATAAGGACATCTGTTCCTCCCTYGTTCTCCTCCCAAATTTCCCTTGTAGGAGGATGGGTGGGTACAGATGTCACATGCTAGTATAGTGCCTATAATTGCAACAGTTTTGATTGAACACTATGGTGTAAAGACTGTCTGATAAGCACCAGTACACTCAAAGTGCTAGTTTATTATTCACTCATTTAACTTTGTTTCTGTTGTTTTAGGTCAAGTCACAACAATCAATTTAACTTTATCAGAGATTGTGAAATCCRGTGGACATCGATGTGGAATAGCAGTGTGCCCTAATGCATGCATTCAGGCAAAATGGAATGAAGTCAARATAGRTGCCGACTACCGTAATCTTCTGTTTTACACACTGTTCTTCCGAGAAGCGTAAGTCCTGCCATAGTTTGTTATTACTTATTGTTGCAAAAAAACAAAGAAAAAAGAATATGAAAAGACAGATTACATATATGTAACTTAATATTTATTGATATTTGTTTTATTTACAGACCAAGCACTAATATTACAGGTCTTGAGGATACTGATGATTGCAGCAGCAATCCAGTGTAAGGAATCAGTTAGTTGTTGTTGTACTTTTAATAATTTTGCTATTAGTACATAATTTATAGAGCAGAGTCACATGAACCATGAAATAAGAACTAAAAAGTACTAACTAATAGGGACTATTAGTTCCTAATAGTCGTTAGCACTGCACCAGAACAGTTTATTTGATCCAATAAACAATACCCAAGAGACCACTTTAACAATCAAAGTAACAATCAAAGTAATTTGTACTGTTCTGGTTCAGTGATAGTGTCTAAATAGTGCCTATTAGTAACTAAGTATTTAGTTTCTATTTCATGGTTCAAGTGACTCTGCTCTAGTTGTTCTGAATGATGCAGTTGTATATTATACACCTCATATATGCATTTCACTCATCATAGTTGGAGAAAAAAAGACATTGCAGTAAGACCAAGGGAAAATACACGGTAAGTATGCTATAGATAATCAAAGAAAAGCTTACAACCACCACAGTATTACATTGAATTGAAATAATCAAAATAACCCAATAGTTTATCATTTGTTTAACATTTTGTTGAAAATGTCATTTCTCTAGCATGAATGTGTCAGATTACAACAGACAGCGCTCTATTGGATACTGCACTGGTAATCTTAAACCAGATACTATTTATGCCATGTATGTAGAAGCAGTAACACTGAATAAAAAAGGAGCAAGAAGCAAGTTAACATTTATTAAAACAAGAGAAACAGGTGAGAATTGCATTGGTCTGGGAAAATAATCTCCATTTTACTGACTTYATTGAAAAATGTCAAAAAATGGAAATACCATTTATTGCTATTAACTGAATCCATAAAAAATGCAAAAATGATATTTTATGTTCTTGAATTGCAGTTCCAGAAGCTGTAGTAGGGCTAGATGCAAGCTACCTTGATGACAAGTCTCTTCTCGTTAAATGGCAGGAGCCACTTTACCCTAACGGCAAGATCATTAAGTTTGTCATTACATATCAGGAAAGTGGCTATTCTGCATGGAATGAGGATAATTTTAACTGGTGTGACAGGCAAATGGTGWCAAGACGTAGTACAGATTCAGTAGATTCTGGGGATAAGGATAAAGAAAAGCCAGGTATTGCTTTGAAACCAAGAATTGATAATAATAGGCTGTTTGCATTATGACGTAACTTTACTGCAAATACCAGAGAGCCTTGCACATTTTCATTGTTATTCAGTTGGAGATTAATAAAACAATTGGCACTAATTATATTACAAAAGAAAGGTTGCAAAGCATTCTGGTAGTTGTAGTAAATGAAGCCATAATGTGTATCACCTATTGTTGGCAGTCTATTGCTAAATTAAATCAGAATTGTCAGAATTAAATCAGGTGATGATGATAATGGCCAATATATAATGTTGATATTTCTAGGGACATGCAATGTGACATGTGTCTGTGACAAAGACAAAGAAATCATCAAACCTGAGAAGCAAGCAGCRATATTTGCCAAGGAGTTCCAGGATGCATTGTTGAAAGCCTTTTTTAMTAAARAWAAYGATGATGCAAATCCAACTACTCGACCTAGGAATATCACAAGTACAACCTTCCCCATYACACAGATAGTTGCAAATAGGACAAACTGCACAGCTGACTCAAAGGTGTGCATTTATGCAATGTTAGAAGTGTCACTGCTTTTTGTTGCAAGGCTGRCTTTCTATTGTTGTTTGATCAGTTCTTCCTGTTCATATCTTCAATGACATTTGTAAARGATTTCCTCTTTATGTGYATTTCGAACACATTYGRTTTCRATTTTCATTGAACTTGACTYGCGGCTGGCAAACTYTTCCAAACCAACTTACACTAACTTCACCTCACCATACCACATTCAATAAATAATTGTTACTTGTCTAGGATCCTGAGTGTTTGACAGTACCCACCACACCTAGTTCAAAACCAGCATACAATGCAACAGGTGTGTCATCTAGCGCTGTGCCTATCAATATGACYACCAAKCCCACAAACAGCACACCCATCACTCCTACAAGAACTCCACGTAAAATGGTTAAAGAAGTGAATGGTACTAAGAGACAATTGCACATTTCTGGGCTGAGACACTTTGTGGATTATAGGATAACAGTATGTATATTCAGTCTTTTTTTTCTTGTTTTTTCTTAATACTTCTCCTTATTTTAGTGTCATTTAAACCATTTTGTGGGCTGCTCCTTCCTTGATTGAACTGAACCCCTTACTAAACAAAATTTTGCATCTGCTCATGATCTTGATGATTTACTTTATGGCAATAATTCTTTTTTATGTCTTAAATGGTAATGATSTCTTCTACTATTAGGTCTGTTATATTCTTGTGTATTTTGAGGTCTGTAAGTGTGTGATATTTTTATCTATATTAGGTCTGTGCATGTACCAGTGCTGGCTGCACACTGTTTAGTAAATGTTCAAGTACTAAAGGACGAACAGGTAGAAAAGGTAATAGTCTCATTGTTCTTGCATGAAACTTAATGAAAGATAACTATAACTGCAGAGAAATACTGTTGACAAAGGCAARGAATTAAACAATATTATAGGTGTGATATAATCGTCCGAGCATGTCTCAGCGAAGACTAGTGTGTCAGGTAACTACACTGTATAACGATCTTTGTCAAAACTTCTCACACTTGGACAGTTATATCACAATTGGTATCCTAATGAAAATGAAGGAAAATATTTGAATATTTTGAGTGGATCTTGGATCTTATTTCCTACATTGTTATACCTTTGTTGCTTCATCACAGAAAATGCTGATGACCTTGATGGGCCTCTGAARGTCAAAGTTCAAAATGCCACTAAAACAGTGAGTAGTAACTGTATTTCAATCCATCTTTTATCATCATAKATCATGTCTATTTGTTGTTTATTTTCTCAGTATAATATAACATGGACAGCACCAAAGGACCCTAACAGTTTGGTTCTCAAATATGACATTGAAATAAGGCATGTAAGTACCAACTACAAAGAAAAAGTATTATCAAAACAGGGCATTCAAGAACTCTAAGTTCTTTTTGCATTGTATTTGTATAATGTTTAGCTAGTCATGAGAAGCAATTTTCTATCCAGTTACTTACTACTTGCCCAGTAGCAATTGGGTTATTYAAAGTGCTGATAATCCAGGGTTAAACAGCATTAATTTGAGTTTTGAAAAACTTTAGCAAGGTTTAATATCTTTACTTGATTGTCCATGATTAAAGTGTCCTTACTCTAAATCTTGTATTATTACATTTTTGCCATATTCATATTTGAATTTGATGCATTATGTAAACATTTAATATGGTAGATTTCAMAAGAAAATACAGATCAAATTTGCAGACAAGCCAATGCACCAACATGGATATSGAWGAAAGGTKYGCCTGGAAATTACTCTGCTAGAGTGAGAGCAATCACCCCTGCAGGGAATGGCTCGTGGAGTAATCTGGTCACTTTTTATATCTCTCATGAAGAAACTGATGGTTAGTTRATTTCTTTTAATAATGATGCTCAGTTGATAGTGAATGCAAGATTCAAAAAGCAATAACACTTCTAATCTCTCCATGCTTAAGTTCAGCGTTACCTTGCAAAATCTCATGTTGTTTTGTACCATAGACATTTCTACGCATTGCTATTTYAATTCCTGGATAAAGTTTTGCTGATTTTCATGTTTCTACAGGTAATGGCGGTGGAAAAATTCCTCAGAAAATGGATGTAGGGATGATAATAGGAGCAAGTCTAGCAGCATGTAGTGTAATCATCCTTGCATGTGGGATTGCTGTGTGGTATATTACACGGAAGAGGTAAAAAACAGAATTTTTCATTGTCTGYTTTTGCATTCAGTACTGCTATCTTTATAGCTCTTATACTTGATTGTCATTTACTTGTTGACATCTTTTGTTTCTTTTTATATGCGGTTGTGAAATGTAAGTTCTTCTTGCTCATTGCAGATATGAAGAGAAGCAGATACACACAGTCTTGTATGCATCAGTAAACCCAGAGTATATGAACTCCTCAGATGGTAATGCTTTCATCTATCTTTTGACATGAATATCTGTTTGTCTTGTTATTAATTTGTTTTTCATTCATCTTTCCATTAGTTTATTAATTCAATCCATGTACTGCTCATTCATTTACACATTTTTTACATTTWTTTCTTTATTTATTCATTCATCCCACAATCCATCCATTCATTCACGTTCATTTGTTTATTTCACAATGGTTATTTCTATCTTATAAAAATAATTGAAATACTGTTTTTTGTTAGTTTATATTGCTGATGAATGGGAGGTACCCAGAGACAAGATCAAGTTAATAAGAGAGTTAGGACAAGGTTCATTTGGTATGGTTTATGAAGGAGAAGCTATTGACATTGTTAAAGACCAGCCACGATGCCGTGTGGCAGTCAAGGTGGGACATTACTCCTGAATTTCGGTGTTATCTTATCAAAGTCATCAATGATATGCAATGAAAAGCACAATAAATACGGTAGTCATGTAAACTCAAAAGGAACTTGTTTTGAGCTATATAATCTTCTTGTCTTGCATTAGCTTGAAGTTTCTTGAGAGTTTCTTTATGTTTATGCTTGTGTTTAGACTGTTAGTGAAAATGCATCAGTGAAAGACAGAATTGAGTTCCTCCARGAAGCATCCATTATGAAGTAAGTGACTATCACTATCTTGTTGTGTATGTGAAAYCCATACAACCATTAATTCAAGAGACGAGCATTTGGCTACCTGGGTTTAACGGTTTATCTCTTTCCAGGGCTTTCCATTGCTACCATGTGGTGGAGTTACTTGGAGTTGTATCAGATGGTCAACCTACCTTAGTTATCATGGAACTTATGCACAATGGTGACTTGAAGAATCACTTGCGGTCAAGGAGGCCAGGGGTTAGATACTATCATAATCTATTAACACATTGTCATTGTCTTGTTATAAACTTTTACATTTTGTAATCTAAATTAGTATTCATAGCGGGCATCGCCCTGAATAGTCTTAACTAATTGCGATGCCCGCTAACTACTCATGTGAAAATTATTATTATTTATTGAATTAAACTTGTAACTTGTAACACAGTCAACTTGGTTTTATTGCTGCTTTGGTGTTATTCCTTGTTTTGTTGTTGATGTTCTTTAGACTGCAATATATTATTTTGATACTGAAAACATTTTGTCTCATGCAGGAGGGAGGTGAGTTGCCTCCACCAACACTAGATGAGATGTTACAAATGGCTGGTGAGATTGCTGATGGCATGGCTTATCTTGCATCAAGGAAGTTTGTCCACAGGTAATCCATCTACTTGAATCCCTAGACATAAACCTMTGCTAAAGTATATTCTTTTGAAACATTTTTTTTCTATTTTTTTAATTTAGGGATCTTGCTGCTCGTAATTGTATGGTTAATGAAAATCTAACTGTCAAAATTGGAGGTAAAAGATYGCTGCTGCTGCTTTCTTTATTTCCCATCCAACCTCTTTTCCACTTGTCCTTCCTCTCCTTCCCATCTATCCTCCATATTATTACCAGTATTTGCATCACTTTGTTGTTTTGTGTTCAGATTTTGGAATGACAAGAGACATCTATGAAACAGATTATTACAGAAAGGGTGGCAAAGGTGCATATTTATAGCATTTACTTAAATAATAATTATTATCAATTAATGTTATTAATGATCTATTACTCACATTGTTTGGTGTTTGTAGGTTTGTTACCTGTTAGATGGATGGCTCCTGAATCTCTAAAAGACGGTGTCTTTACCTCCCCATCTGATGTSTGGTAGGTATTCKCTTTCACCATATAGAATGGGAAATTCAGGGGGAGGAAGTGAAGTGGCATGATCCCTCCCTYGTGTGACMTTTTACCCTTATTCTGTATCCTATCTATTATGACAAAGAGTGGCTTGCACCCTCTGTGATCCATCCTTAATCTCTTCATTAAAACTGATTTCCATTTAACTTAAAGAGAACGACCTGTAGATGTTCTTTTCATTCCACTATTCCATATTCCACTATTCCACATTCCATGTTTCAATGGATTTTTATATCTGCATGAATCATCCTCTGATGCAAAAATAAGTTCATATTTTATTTGAAGGTCATATGGAGTTGTGTTGTGGGAGATGGTTACACTTGCTTCCCAACCCTATCCTGGCAAGTCAAATGAAGAAGTTCTAAAGTTTGTTGTGGACGGAGGTGTCATGGAGAAACCACCAGAGGCGCCGCAAGAACTGTGAGTTGACAAAAATTATTATATAGATATTTTATAAAATTTTTGATATATAACGCTCGCTCTGATTGGCTGACGACCGTGTTATAGAGACACGGCTTACCGGCAAAATTTTCTTTTCGCTCGAAATATTTTATAAAAGAAATATAAAACAGCTGCTTGTGTCTCTGTCCTCTGATATAAACACGGTGGGAGTTGAAAAACACTCGAGAAGCAAGAGAAACACTTGCTATGCTCGTGTTCCAAAGCTTGCTTCTCTCGTGTTTTTCGAACTCCCACCGTGTTTATATCAGAGGACAGAGACACGTGCGCCGTTTTATATTTCTTAAAAAGCACATAATTATAATCATTTAATATCCAAGCTACATGCTACATTAAAACAGATTCTTTATTTCATAATACTCTTTGTAATTTTTTCAGATATGAGTTAATGACCTTATGCTGGCAGTTTAAACCCAAAACACGTCCAACATTCCTGACTTTAATCAACATGATAGAAGACAAACTATCAGAGGACTTCAAGAAAAACTCCTTTTACTCCACATTACCTCGCGCCCACCTCCAAGAGATGTTGAGATTGAGAAGTTTCTACATTCCACGGCAAAGAGCAGAGACCATTCAAAATGAAGAGGAATCCAAAGCTTAGTTGTGGACTAACAAATCATTACAGTAATGACAGTCAACCGTCAACCATATAATCTTAAAGAATCGCATTTATCATGCTTTTTGAAAGTTTAATACATCCAATGCAGAAGCAAGAGAACCTTTGAATACTCACACTTTCCTTATTGTGTTGATATTTAGCTCAACACAGAAAACCCAAATTAGTGATTTTTCAAAGGACAGCTGCTTGATGTATTACACAGGGTTCCCATCTAAAATAGAAATTCCATTCCTCAAAGGTATGGAAACAGCAGTAAAAATTATAMTTTCTGGAATCCAGAATATTTTTAGATAGAAAGAAGGCTTAGCAATACAGTATGTAATATAGGGCTAAGAGGATAGGCCTGGGAACAAATCATATATTTTTACATTCAGGGGGGAGGTGAAATGACTATGKGGGAGGGGGTGGAGTGCATTATCCCAGTCATGCCATATTATTCATAATTTGTAAAAAATAAATAAATATTCCATTGGTAGCTGAAAAAATATTGAAAGAAATAATGAATATTGAATTGATAAATAATTAATATTATTAATGATGCTGAAAAATAGTGCCTTAATTAAAAAAWTGTATATAGCTTTTTATTTCAAATAYACCATGCTCAGTTTACATTGAAAAMATTCCCTTCTAGGGTAGGGTGGAGGAAATTTTGCAGCATGGCAATCATTGTATTAACAATATGCATTTACTCTAACCAGTTATCAATGAGATCTCAAACTTTAACTTCAAGCATTTGTTTTGGGCTTCCTGTGCTGTCAATCAAATAGCAACAGAAAATTTAGTTGARTGCTTRAATTTGATCAGGGTTCAAGGTTTCTGACTCTATGGATTTGAGTTTTATAGAAAAATTAASTTGCTAGTTGTCCAACCTTTTTACCAGGACAATTTATCACTTTAAAAGGGTGCTGGCTTGGAAGGGGAGGTTGACATTTATATAKATAAAATAATGACAGATTCATGTGTCAATAAATCCATACACCCTAGTACATAGAATTCAGTCAATGATAAACCTAAGATATCCACTGTATTCATTGCACAAACTGCTGGAAAGCAACAAAATAAAACTTTTATATGACTAAGATCCTGTGATACTTAAATYGTTTTGTGTTTATGTTATGTTTGCTTTCTTTACCCTTTTCATTCACTTTTTTCTTTTTTCCTTTTCTTGTTTTTCTTGTTTTTCTTATCTTGCTTGCATTTCTGCATTTTCCTCATGTGACCGTAAGGACTTTACAGGGAGGGGAGGGATAGTCGTTCTTGTATTCAACACCAGGCTCTCTCGTTTCTGCTTTAACTCGAGCACCCAAACACGATAACAAGATTCTAGTTCAACGCTGAAATCTGTTCTTCTTTACTGGATTTCACGATGCCTGTTCAAGAATTGAATTCTGTACGGTCCAACATAGGACTGAGTACTGCAATATGTGCTGTGTGTCATGAAGGATTTGGTGTCGATGAACGAATGGTGAACTCAAATGGTCAAATACTTCATGAACGTTGCTTCGTGTGAGTATAAGCTTACATACAATTTTTGAATGTTTTACTTTRTTTTACCCTCAAAACAGTAACAATTTAGTTCAGTTATGATTTCAAGTAGAGTTTGAGAGTGAAATGATGTTCTTTAACTGGTTTATGTCGGAATAAACACTTTTTATCACAGACAAACCATACAAATTTACGATAGATCGAAAAGTCAAAAGGGCAGTCTATGTCATGGTCGTGCACACTCATTCTGATGTTCCTTTAGTTAAATTACAAGGCAGTTATCTCTAAAAGCATTAGATATTTCAGGATGAGATTATACGTTAATCAATGCAATAGAGTTAGCGTTGAAGTGTAATTATAGGAATGTGATRTTTTCCACGCCCTTCCGATGTTTTGATGACACATTTTAGGATCGTCTGACGATATGTAGCGCAAAATTATAATCACGTTTTGATAAATAACTGAGTACATTTTTTTTCTTATTATTTCAGATGTGTTCAGTGCTTTCAGCCATTCCCTGATGGACTGTTTTATGAGGTTGGAATACAAGACATGACAATTGTTTCCCATTTACTTCCCATTTTTATAATTTTCCCATTTTTAATTTTGTCYATTTTTCAGTATGATGGCCGACGGTTTTGTGAGCATGACTTTCAAACACTTTTTGCTCCATGCTGTAAGCAATGCAGTAAGTAGTATATATATAACAGTGATAATTATTAAATATTTATTTAATTGCTACAATATATTCAYCAGGGAATTTCTATTGAACTTCATTTTTATAATTTTTTTCAGGAAAGTTTATCATTGGTCGTGTGATTAAAGCTATGCAAGCAAACTGGCATCCTGACTGCTTTCTTTGTGAAATTTGTGGAGATGGTCTTGCAGATGCTGGTTTTGTAAAAAATGCAGGCAGGTAGGTATTGAAAATTACACTTTCCTTCCCTCCCTTGGGGAAAAGGTCTTCACTACTTCCATTCGACAAAAGGTATATGTTTCAGGAGAGAATGCCCATAAACTGGAGACAACATTACTGTTCATAGAAAATATGTTATATTGTTTTATCTATTGAACTTCACATTTTTATATTTCAGAGCATTATGCAAGAAGTGCAATGCTGATGAAAAGACAAAAAGTAAAATGATAATGAAGTGATAATTTATATGTTWCTCTTTTTTATTATTATTTTATTAATGATCTTGTTTTCTTTACAGAAACTGGCCGTTATGTATGCAGGAAATGCCAGTAAGCAAATCATCTCATTCRTTCTATTATTTTTTYMACCCATTTATGCATTTTTCAACACTTTGCCATTTCAGTACATATATCCCTGAAGGAGAGCACATCATGTACATGGGAGAACCTGTTCATCCATGGCATTACAACTGCTTCTGTTGTGGGTAAGTTCTAAAGCTTTGCTCCCCTCTTCTCTGCTGTACTCTAATCTGMTAAGCTCTYYCAATCTACTCTCTCTTCTCTTTTCTAAAAGCTGAAGCCTTTTCTCTGTTTTGCAGAAAAGAGCTTGACCATCTTTGTCGCAAGAAGGACACAGAACTCTACTGTCTCAGGTGTCATGACATGATGGGAACACCAATTTGTGGTGCTTGTCGGTAAGTTGATAATCTAACGGAATGCTTTATTGTTTAACTCTTTTAGCAATATCATGTTATTATTAACTAGTAAAGGTCTAATATGTTGTTATATTAAACAGGCGTCCAGTTGAGGATCGTGTTGTTCATGCATTAGGGAAAGCTTGGCATGTTGAGGTAGAGGCCAACAATCTTTTTTTTAAAAAGGCATTGAGAATGAATACATATGATGTTTTTGTTTCCTTTTTTACTGCAGCACTTTGTTTGTGCCAAGTGTGAGAAGCCCTTTTATGGMCATCGATACTATGAACGCAAAGGACTGGCCTATTGTGAAACACATTATAACGAGGTACACTCATTATATTCATCTCTTGACTATCATCCTTTGTTGTTACACTTTTGTTGTTTGTCTTTCATTAGTTTTTCTCTCATCTCTTGTCTTTTTTGACTCTGCTCTTTTCCTTTTTTTTCCTTTTAGAAGTGAATGTATAAACAAATTCATGATACAAATGTTTGTAGTTTTTGACATTTTGTTTTTGTTTCAAGTTATATGGTGACATATGCTTTGAATGTAACAAGGCAATTACTGGTGACGGTGAGTAGTATAGTGGGTCACTAAACTCAAACTTCTAACCAAAAATGCTCATACATGCGGACCATGACACATAAAACTATTGATGGAGATGGGTCATAAAGATCATCATCTAATCAATGTGTGCACTGTTTATAATACATTTTTATTGAAATATTTTTGTATTTTTCCAGTTGTAAATGCATTGAACAAGTGTTGGTGTGTTCATCATTTTACATGTATTGGATGTAGCATTTCTCTTACCCTCAAGTAAGTATATAGGTTGCCTGCTTTACCTTGTTTTAACTACAGCAGAATATTAGGCACTATTCACACTGGTGTGCAGTGACTGCGTGAACACAATGTCTTTTGATTCTGGTTCCTGAGCACGAGAGACCAGGCACGGTGAACTTAGAATGTTAKAGCTCCTAGATATTGAAAATGGTGATAATTTACAGTTTTAACAATTGTACTCACATTTTACAGGAGTAAGTTTCACGAGTTTGACATGCAACCTCTCTGTAAGAAGTGCTACGAAAAGATGCCTCTTGAATTGAAGAAAAGACTAAAGAAAGCTGAAATGGCYAGCCCAGCAAAAAGAGCTTGATGAATCAGAAAATGCCAGTTGCAAAATTCATCTTGAATATCAATATTTTTGTAGAAAATGATTTTTAATAATAACAATATTGCAATATATAAAATATATATACTCTTTAACCTGTGTGTTTGTGTATTTCTTCTAGCTGTTAATAAAGTTGTAATTAACGTGCAAATTTGCACCTTGTTTATGTATTTATACATTATTATATAAAAAAAAAGTTTCAAGCCTTTACTTTAGATGACGAGAATGTTTTGATTGTTGTTTTTTAATTTTTTTAATTTAATTTTATTTATTTTTTTGTTTTTGTTGTTGTTGTTTGTTTGTTTGTTCATTTTGTCTGTTTGTTGTTTTCGAGAGAATTTCCCATTTATTCAAATTCCCATTCTTATGAAACTCGACCACGTTGTTTTCCCGCCACTTGTTTCGCGGGAAATAATCGAAGCAAAACTCAGCGGATTTRCCCAATCTTGGTAGATCCAGTTTCACTTTAAAGCACGTTGCACGAACGATGCACGAGGATATCGTAGTTAGGGTGAATTTGGACGATAAATACAGATTTTTAGTGAGTATTTGCTGTAGTAAAGTTTAGATTGACTCCTTGCTTATACATCTAAGTATTTGTCACGTTTCAAGGTTGTCACAAAGAAAGATAGCACGATAAARGACCTCAAGKCTGAGATCGGTAATGTTGCCAGACTTGTGCTCTCGGAGGACGTAAGGTAATCAAACTTTTTACTRCTGTAAATCTGTTTTTTAGYCATATCTAGCTCAACCAAAATATATTTTTTTACTTCCAAGAGTTTCTTGAATATACATGCTTTTGGAGAGGTTTGTTTTTGTTTATATAATTTGAATGACAATACAAATTGCTGCTGTCACGTTGCTTTTACGGAACTTGGTTAGGCCATTTAAAAATTATACTTTCCGTACAACTTGTGCAGAGCTGCAAAGGATACAACATCTGCGGTTTAGTAAAGTTAGATACAGGATACGACTTCATTTGAAATTGGAACTGTTTTAAACCAGYCTGAAGCAAATCCAAAATTGATGCARTCTATTTGATTTAAGCTTATTGTTAATCAACATTTTTTCTCTCTGAAGGGAAATAATATCTGTCCAGAATATYCATGAATTTGAACTGCCAGAGATTTATACTGTTGGAAGATTGCTGAAAGAACATGAGAAAGTGCTGGCATATACAAACAGTAAGTAAAGAAATATTTAAACAAATTCAAATCACCCTGTGTGACATGCAATTGGACGATAATGACACAAGTGGTGTGTGATAACCTAACATATCAAGCATACATATAACCAGCTTCTTAATATTATTTTAACTACTACAAAAAAATGGTATATAGTCCTTAAAATGGACAAGCCCAACATTGAAAGATGATAATCTTCATTATAGGTTATGAACCTACATCTAAAAGTGTAGACTCTACCAACAAAGATTACCCTTTATCAGATGTTTCTCAGTCATGTTTGCCAAAAACAAATGAAGAAGAAACAAATAAGTCCTGTCAGGAAATCTTGCAGAATGTAGTAGAAMCAGTTCATAAYGACAATGGCAGTACACAAGATGAYGATGATACACAAGAATGGAACATCGATGAAGAAAATAACAWCAAACATCACCATGACAACAAAGGTTCTCCATTAAATGCTGAAATTGAATTGGTGAATGATTTGACTCTGGACAGACATGAAGAAAGTGTAAAAAAAGTGAATGAGCCAGAAGTAATTGAACCAGAACCAGGGAATATGCATTGTGATGAAGGAGATTCAAATGATGCACATCASACTAATGTTAATTCAAGCTTACAAAAACAAACTGAAGAACATGTACATTTAACAAGAGAATGTTCTACCAAAGAAAATATTGGACATATAGACTCYCAAGAAAAAAGTGAAGTTTTTGAAAACAGTCTTTCTCTAAAACGACMTAAAAAACAAAACCAATACAAGCACAAAAAGCGAAAAGAATCAAGAACTCAGTCAATTGATGATAGTTTAGCTGAGGAAGAGTTGAGAAATAGACCAAGCGATACCACCTCAAATGTCTCACTCCAAAGCAGCTCAATCTCAGAAGCAGTTTTCAAATCTCCAACCTTCAAAGCAATCTTGCAGTCAAAACAATTCCGCTATCCAAGAAGAAGACAGGCCATTGAGAAGTCAGTAACGAAGGTGGCAAACTGGCTGGTTGGAAGTGAAGACAATCATACAGAATCAGAACAAACTAGCCAAATAGAAACTGAGATTAAMAAAGACAGTGATAAAGCTGAGCAAGATGAACATACAACTTCAAAGATGTATTGTGTGGTGGACGTTAAAGATGATAAAGTGATATATTATGACAGTGATCCTAGTGAAGTGAGTCACAGTGGAGGGTTACTTAAAGAGTCTAATTTATTGTCTTGCACAATGGTCCTTCCATATTTTTGTGCTCAAAGAGAACACTTAATTACCACGCCATCAAAGTCTGTTGATTTCTGCAGAAGTAAAAGGAAGTGTAGAGAAATAAATGAAGATTCTAATGGCATTACTGAAAATGGTACTAATTTGAGACGTTTATAATTAGTATTGGGTGCACATTTAATCCTAGGAAAACAACCACACTTTTAAATCTATAATGCTACACATACACTAGCAAAATGCCTGCATTTTTAGCACAACAATTGTTATTATTTGAGTATCCAATGTAGTTKTGCTATGGATGATAATAGTTATTCTAAAGGTTATCATAGTTAATTTTCTTTCTTTTTCTCTACAATTTAGAATTACCAGCAACATACAAGTCACCAGTATTCCACAAAAACCAAAACCAATGTTTCTCAGGAAGACTTCATGAAGCAGAGAAAGATGACATMGAAGATGACAAAAGCTGCTGCTCCACGGAAATCTTGGATCATGGTGATGACATTGATAGAGCTTCATTAAAGAAACTAGYACATTTAACTACTTTCAACAAGAYTTTGACAATCTCACCACAGCAAACTGAGATCCAGAACATCCATGGAAGCTCCAMTGCACTACATRATATTGTTCAAGACCAGAACAGAAGCCCTGAAGATCTTCTGGACTCTGCTAAAGGGCCAATTGAAAGTAGAAGACAAGTGAAGAATGCTCAAAGTAAACAGGGATCAAATACAGCTAATGTTGCTCAATTTGAACAGTCAAACCAAAATGTACCAAATGACACCATAAGGAATGAATACGATAGCRATAGTTCATCAGAAAGCACAGAGGAAAAGCATAAACTTACACAGTCAAGTAAAAATACTGTGCCAAATCTATCAAACAAGCAAACAGCAGAATCTGACAGTGATAGTGRCAGTTCTTCAAGTGCAAAGGAAAAACAAAAACTTAAACAATCAGATAAAAACTCTGTTCCAAAACAATCAATACGTTTACCAAAGAAGCAAACAACAGAATCTGACAGTGATAGTGACAGTTCTTTAGAGAGTGCAAAGGAAAAGCAAAAACTTACACAGTCCAATAAAATTTCTTTGCCAAAACAATTGACCAGTTTATCAAACAAGGAAGCAGCAGAGTATGACAGYGRMAGYGACAGTTCTTTGGAGAAAACAAAGGAAAAGGAAAAACTAACACAAACAGATAAAATCCCTGTGCCAAAACAATTGAACAGTTTAACAAACAAGCAACCAGCAGAGTATGACAGTGGAAGTGACAGTTCTTTGCAGAGTACAAAGGAAAAGGAAAAACTTACACAGCMAGATAAAATTTCTGTGCCAAAACAATTGACCAGTTTACCAAACAAGCAATCAGTCAAATTTGACAGTGATAGTGACAGCTCTTCAGAGAGTGTAACAGAGAAGGAAAGATTAACACAATCGAATGCAAATTCTGTGAAACAAACAACCATTTTATCTAATACAGCAGCAAAGGRAAGTGATCRTGTCAGTGACAGTTCTYTAGAGAGTGAGAAAGAAARTCCAAAAGCCATGCAGSATGATATTGTGCTAAAKCAATCAACGCTAARTACTAYAAAACCCAAGGAAAGTGATAATGAAAGTAACAGTTCTTTAGAAAGTGCAGAAGAGAAGGAAAAACTTACTCAGCCTGATAAAGCATTGGCCAAAAAACTTGACTTTGACTCAGTTTCGACTTCAGAAATTGAACATAGTAAGCACTCAAAGATCAAGAATTCTCAAWATAAAGTAGTGACAGTTAAGCAAATCATGAACTCAAAGACATTATCAACTGCWGGTAATGATAAATCATCACAATCAGACTCTGATTATTYGCACACAACAGATAGTGAAAATGAAAAGAGCAAAGTCAAAACGACTAAACAAGGAAACAACTCAAAGTTGCTTAGTAAAAAGACCACAAAATATGCTCCAAAGCATTCAGACTCTTCAASWTCAGATAGTGAAGATCACATCAAAGATCTTCCTAAGAAACTTAGCTCTACTGGCAATAAGAAAGGAAGTATATCTCAACCTTCATCCAACAAGACCACMAGAAATGCTTCATGTACTAATTTATATTCTCCAAATGAAGTAAACAAAGTAGAAAAGAAAGATACAACTAAAAATCAAAAGAAAACCATACCAAAAAGTACTAGAACTACAGGTACTAAAAAAGTTAATAAATCAAAATCTTCACTTACAAAAAACAATGATTCATCATCACTCTCTGACTCAGAATACCTTCACACCACAGACAGTGAACAAGAAAAGCAAGTRAGCAAAGATGTAAAGAAACCAGCAAATTTGTCTGAAAAAAATGCTAAAACAGTGTCAAAATCTGATTCAGATTCTTCTAGTTCTGATGATCAACAGGACAAGAAAACAGGTAAAGATGTGTCTAAAGCAAAAACTTCTACAGATAAAGAACAAGAACCTTTAACTACAAAACTACCAAACCAACCCAGAGGAGGTGATGCCAAGGGTGATTCTTCTACTTCTGACAGTGAGCAAGAAGATCAATCTAGGGCACCCTCAGAAAAAGCTGTCAAAGTCAGTACCAGTAAGGAAAGCGAGGAAACACTTGTAGTCARTGTCAATTCCCTTTGTAACTCCCCATTAAGAAATGGAAAAGATGTCAAAAATGGCAATAAATGTGATACAACTTTAAACATGATGAAGAATAATGCAAGCATTAGTGAAACAACTAAAACCTTTTCTCAAAGAAAAGCAAATGAAACTGGAGTTTTACAAACAACACAAAAAGTACACCATAAGCAATCAAGTAATGTTTCAATAGAAGCAATTGAGCAAGTTGCTGTGAACCAGAAAGAAAGAATTGAAAATGAACATACACCTTCRAAGAAGAGGCAAAATCTTAGCAGAGAGGACAGTAATGAACCAATACCATCTAAAAAGAAAAAGATGAATTCAAAAGATGCTGACAATAGTAGAACTGASGAGACTGTTGAGGTTGAGAACATAAAAAAAAGAAAGAAGGCAAAAGATGGCAGTTCAGAGTCAAACATAAATGTTGTTTTCGTTGAAAATGCTCCTATTGAAGCTGTAGAGCAAAGCAATCAGAGCACAAAAAAGAGAAAGAAGACGAAAGATAGCCGTTTAGAAACATCAACAGATGTAATGGAAAAGATTTGTGCTGAAGAGGAAAACTTAAAACAGAGCAAAAGGAGTCCAAAAAAAGGAAAGAAGGCAAAAAATGGTGGTTTAGAAGCACAGACAAGTCAGACAAGTGTTGTTGAAAAGACTTCTGTTGAAGAGGAAAAGACAGAACAAGCAAACAAAAAGAGACAAAGAAAACAAAGGAAAACAGAGATTATAAGCTCAGAAGCACAGAAAAATGAAGTGGAAAATACAGCAACTGAAGACAAGAACTCAGAACAGATCAACAAGAGTAAACGAAAAGGAAAGAAACCAAAAGATGGCAGTTTAGAAACACTGACAAATGTAGCTGAAAAGGTTCATACTGCAGCTAACAACTTGGGACACACAGACAAGAGTCCAAAAAAGGTAAAGAAAGCTGAAGGCAGCAATTTAGAAACAAATACTGTTGCAAAGATGTGTGAGGAACTGGGAGACCCAGAGCAAGGCAGCAAGAGTCCGGAAAAGAAAAATGAGGCAAACGATGACAGAGAGGAGAGTGACAACTTTAAGGAAAAGTCAAAGAAGAAGAAGAAGAGAAAGAGAAGTAGTTCACAGGAGAATGCTGATATTTTCGAAGATAACCAGAGTGAAGATGAAGAGGGGAAAGYTGAAAGTAATAATGCTGCACAAGAAGTACAAAATTCATATTCCAAAAAGAAGAAAAAGAAGAAAAAAGACAAAAAAACAACTGAAGAGAAAAAGTCAACAACAAAGTATCCAGAGAGCCTTGAATTTGTGAGTGACAAAAGGACCATGGCAAATTATGAAGGAAAATCTAAGAGGCAGAACAATCAATGTAATAATGAAATGACTCATGATGCAATGAAGGAAATCTCCTCTGCAGAGCTTACAACGGGACAAGAAGACACAAGCAAATCGAGAAAGAAATCTAAGAAAAAGAAACATAAAAATCAAGATAGTGGAGACTTGTCACCAARTAAAAAGAGCAAAACACATATCCCASAGGATAAAGTTGATGGTTGTGCACTTGAAAACATTACTACAAACACAAAGGAGCTTCAARGCAAATCCCCATCACTGGAGAAAAAACATGGTAAGAAAACAAGCTGTGAGTAAAAAGTACAATTATCATGAAAAATGAAGTGGACAGTAATATTGGTACTGTTTGATAGATAGAAAGAAAACAAGGAGTTGTTTCAAATGCCAGTACAATTTATCTTTATACAATAACAGAACTGTTTCATTAGAGTCTATAAAAACAATGACCCATCTCACATCTTCACTTCATTCTCTAGAAAAGATGTTCAGCAGYGGCTCAGAGGATGACACRAAACACAAAAACATAAACAGTTTACTCTTGTGGATTGAAAAGAAGACAGCATCACCACAAAACAAGACTTCTAAAAGAGCCAAGTCAAAGTTACTGGACCTTGCACAAGATGGTAAATTAGTACAGTTTAATGAGACAATACATATTTATACTCAATAAAAGTCCAAATAAAACAAGTAATGTGACACAAGATTAGCCTCCTCCGCAGGCATCACTAAGAATCACGGGCTTCCTGTCTTTTTGAGGAGTCAAAAGAGGGAGAATGGGTCCTCTTTTTATTTTGGCTATCTCGTCACTAGTCCCTAACGGCCAAAATGACCGTTACAAAGGAAGCCCAAAGGAGGAAAAAGGAGTTGCCTGTGGAGGAGGCTAACACAAGATTTGGTAGAGTATTTTAGAATGTCACCATAAAAAATATCTCATTATCATTTGACCTATTCACCAATACAACTAGTAATAGTTTTTTTCATCATGTTTCAGAAGATGACAATGACAAGACACCATCMAATACAAATACAGAAACGCCATCAAGATCAAGTCGATCATTCCATCGTACTCCAACAGGATTCACTAATACACTACCAAGAATGAAGAAAACATCAAGCCGTTTGTTTTTCCCATTGACCACCACAAGAAGAAAGAGAAAACTGAGTTGTAATAGTTTACCACATTCAAGAGAACTGACCTCCATAGAAAGAGAGATATTGTCAGGGGGGGTTAATCAACTTGATACATTGGTGAATGAGGACTCMTTCTGGAATAGTTAATGAAATTATTGGTTTCCTTTTTGTTCACAAAGTTTATTTTGTCATTAAAAACAAAAAAAACATTCTGCAAACTTTATATTATATAAAAATAATAATGTGTATAAATTATATTCAATAAATTCAATTTTTAATAACTTTTCAAATCAGTATTGTTTGTACTATAGAGATATCAAAGGTCTTTGATGCTGCACATATAGCATACATTATCTCTCACATGTCACTTATGTTGTCATGTATCAACCTCAGACATGGATGATTGCAGGATGTGACAAACCTGTAGCTAGGACGTGGTAGAGTGATTTCACTTAAACYGTGCAACTGTACAAAATCTAAGTATAGTACCAATTTGTTCTAAGAGTGGACCTGAAGCAAGCCAGTACTGAATGCTTCATTTGTACCAAACTTGCATACCGTATGCTCGATTTACTAAATACAACTCAATAAACCCTTTTAGCGATCTCTTTTACGCTGTGTTCGCCTCAAAACCATGTAATAAATTCTTTTATTCACAACAGCCCGTGCAAATGCAAGAGATCTGTGAGTATAGAAGACAATGGAAATAGTTTGAAATCTCACGAGTTTTATCTACATTTCTGAATATTTTAGCACACAATTGAGGCTAACACAGCGTAAAAGAGATCGCGAAAAACTCGACTATAGCACTATTTAGTTTGTACAGTTGCACATCAATCCAACAGTCCTAGTAGATGTGTAGCCTGCCCCTAAACCTGTTACCATCCAGGTATTCATTGTTAATAAAACCACTGAATCAACCCATAGCAATGCTTTATTTGAAGAGRGCAATTTGAAAAGATTTACATATGTTCTGGCCCAGTTGTCAAGTGCCTGATGTGAAAATTAACTACATATTCAGCATTAGTTCTTTGAACTGATATAGCAAAGGGCTCGTAAGGATGAAAGGTGAATGCAACAAGCCTCCTTGCTGTGGGTGGTGTAGGTCTCCCTAGGAATCCAGCATGAATCTTGAACTTGAGAAGCCCAGAATCCCTTGAATAAAACCTGAAGTTAAAAGAATATACATTAAAATACTGGAGAGAACTTTWCMARTTGTGTTCTTGAGTTGGTRTCAGTAAGAGTGGATTGAAACTTAGGCAAATTTGTACAACTGAWCCCTGGWGTACAGTCAAAAAACCTGTGAACTAGATATAACAYTATTGCACCTAARCACCATGAACATGTATTGCTATCAGTTTTTTTTACTCTATGTGCAGTGCTATCACCTGATTGGATGATCTCCACAAGCTTTTGGTCTCTCCATGACTGACACCCACTTGTCATCATAACTAAACAATGATAAGTCTAAATAAGGACTGCTGCTGTAGGACTGGGAACTRATAGGCAACTGTGCTAAGAGACGTTTCACTGCTTCTGTGTGACCGCCATATTTTGCATTKATKATWGTGTGTTTGAAYCTGCGCTGGATTTGACGGGCATAAATGTTGCTTGAAGCCGAACATGTRAACTGTGCAGGAGAATGTAATATTGCATTTCTGAATGAGTCACAAAATTGCTCAAACAATTCTAGTAGTTTCTCAGAAGTGTTTTCAAACACTGCTAACACTTGGGTTGACTCCATRTTGTAAATAACAAAGAATGATGGTTGGGAGTTTGGGTCAGCTACTCGAAGTGTTACTACATCTTCACTAGCATACTTTATAAGGATTGTGGTTTCGTCTAAAAGTTGCATTTTCCACATTCGTAGCATACGAAACTGTTCAAAGTGTTGAAAGAACCTGCGCAAGGCCTCTGGTGAGCCTTGCCTCTCTGCACACCTGTAAAGATGTGCCAATAATCTATGTTTCAAGCCATTGATGCATGTTTCACGGTATGGCCTTGGTGGATGTCCATTTTCCATTTCAACACTTAAAGAGTTCTGTAATACAAGTTCATCATCTTCCTGGCAGAAMCGTCCAATTGATCTRACRTCAATAAACTTGCCATCTTTAGTAACCTGRAAGATGTGTACYGTCTGTTGTTGGACGGACAGTATTGCTAGAAGGTCCCGGTACAAATACAGCCCCTGGTTGTGACTTAGAAAGATCTTATCACATTTAAAAACTCTTGAATCACTCARGCAACCATGGCACAAGTCTACAATGTGWATAGTGTAATCCTCAAGGGGAGATCTCGGGTTTGGGGACACGGACTCATTGTTTCTGTAAATGTCAAAGAAATACGGATGGGGATCTTCCGGGACGTATGACGCTGACCCAACTATCACATACCGGCCGTCATCAGTAAATAAACTACATTCTCTGTTTAAGTGTTCTCCATTAGTTGCTACAGTTACTACAGCTGTTTGTTTGAAAAAYTGACTAAACAGTTGTCGCCTACACGTGGCGTTATCGCGTGGTAGTTTTGAAAGCAACTCCTCTGCGGCCCCTGCACCCTGAAACTCGTACACTTCAATTGAGCTTTGATCCAGTGAAAACGCAACAAAGTATCGTCCATCTGGAGAAAATTTTCTCAAGAAACAAGGAGGYTTTTCWACGTTTACAATAGTAAAATTAGGAAAGACGTTTTGGGTAAAACTTCTTGCGCGATGCCAATGACAACCCGGTCTTTCAAGAGTAGTTTCTCTTTGACGTAATTTCCATACTATATTTTGATTGGTTACTCTTCTTGGTCTAAAGTGCATCTCTTCTTGGTCATAATTATTCATTTTTTTCTRCAAAACAAATCAAAATATCTTTGAGTACTTCAGTCAAACTCGTCCGCCATTTTGAAATATCCGGGACATCAAGTCCCAAACTGACCCCAAGAGGACTAGGCACTAGCTGAGGTGTCCTCTTTTGATTTCGTGTTCTTTCTTCCAACATGGGTAAGCTTGAATTGACTTAAATTTATCAGGATTTCTCACTCACCATTTTTGCGATTGCATAATTATTAACAAGTTATATTTTCTACAGCTATTCCTACAGCTGCATCGGGTTGTTTTGCCTCTATTTTGACTGTAATCATATTTGCTTCGATGCAAATGTTCAAGCAGAACCTTGCGTCCAGCGAATGGATGACGATTTTAGGAGGATTCATTGGTGCTCAACTTTTTGTTTTCTTGTTAACTGTATCTTTGAAACACTTTACTAAACCTTTTTAGTTTTCCCATAAATATAGATTGGTTTAGAATTGTTTTGTAGTAAGTATGTATAAATATAAATTGTTGCTAAGAAAATCAGCTGAACAAAACAATACAATAGTCGACTTTTTTGTAAATATTTTTAATATTTTGAAAAGGGGAACTGCTATTTTTTTWAAAATAATATTGGTTGGTTTAGGAAGAAGTGAATTATGTTTGATATTCTGAATCATATTAACAAAAATACATAATTGTATTGAGAATAATTGTTAAAATTAATCAAATACTTACTATAGTTGAAATTTCATACGTCTATTTGCACTCAAGGAAAAGGAATGCAATGTCTTACAACTCTTTCATCCGTGACGGGGAAAACCAGCCTCAATAAATATAAGAGAAAAGCTTATGCAAATCAAACAAAATGGGGGGGGAGGGAGAGGGGGGGTGAGATCAAGGAAGGAGAGATGCACCATTGAGTTAACAGTGCCAATCTCAAATCTYYTCAAAACGTTGTGCTTACCTTCCTTAACCACATGAAGGCTGTTGGTAATTTTGAAACCATGTGCTTTGGGAAAAACTTTCAAACAAAACTATTCCCTGAGGGTAAGTGTGCAAATTCACAAAGCATAAAACAATTACGAATAATTGTAGYGCAAGAGGCAAMTTTGCACCTAAAGCTATATCTGATTAAAAGCCACTCATGTTGTAAACGTCGCGTTTTAGATTTTCAAGTATAATTCACATTGATGTTTTTTTTGTTATCAATAGTTGTTGCCTGCTTAGGAATTGCCATGTTTTCTTCTGGTCTTATTCATAGAGTGTGTGTCACCACTTGGTAGGTTTATTTCACATTCTATCCTATTTACTTGAATTTTTCTTATTTCATTTTTCTTATTTCATTTAAAATGATATTCTGTATTATTCTATCCCATTTACTTTCTTATTTTATTTTTCTTATTTCATTTAAAATGATATTCTGTATTATTCTATCCCATTTGTTTTTGATTTTAATACAATTTCACATTTTTTCAGTTTCCTATTCTCAGCCATTCTACTGTACTACATGAATAGACTCTCGTCCACTGCYCACACACCAGTTGTAACAAGACCACCYCCATCAAAAGGCAAGAAGGGCCACTAAGACAAGAGCATCACAACACTAGATTTATACCATAAATGTATCTTTATTGCAATTAAATTAAACTTTTCAAATAACAATCAGTTTTGTGATACTGAGTCAACTGTAGAAGAATGACAGCTTGTATGAAAAGTTAAAATTCAAGGTGGCTTTAACACAATATATTATCCTTGGATGAAAGAAAGACATAAGGCTTCAAAGGAAGTTTTGTTTTAAATTTTTAAAAAGTGCTTTSTAAAGCTTTGRAACAAAATGTAGTCTGCTTAATTTGGTTTTTAGTTATTTCTCTTTTATGACTGTGATAATGTGACTGTAACTTGYTTCTTTTGTTAAAATCAGGAATCTTGAAGTTTGACCAAAGCATCAGCTTGTCGTGTAAGCATAAAAGAAATAGAAATGAATCAACAAATGTATATAATTGAGATATTTTCCACACCTCTGCTCCAATATTATTTTGATGTGATAGTCAGGTCCCAGGTACAATTTAGACAGATAACAAATAATGTGATGATAACAAGGACTTGATTAATATGGCTTTGTTTGTAATTTTTAAAAGGGTCTCTCCTTTTAGTCCCTCTGCATTTTTTCCCCAAAGGGACAGCTTGATACCAATAATAATTGCACAACTTATCATAGTTATAAATGAAGAAGTTACCTGCCATTTTCAGAAGTTGTTGTCGTTCTGCTATATTTTCTTGCAAAAACTCCATCAGTTGAAAATATCTACAAACACATGTCTAGTATACATGAGACTGAGGCTATGAGTAGCACAACATGATTAGGTGAGGGGACCATTTAGGGTATGATCAGTACGAGGTGCTTCTTATAGTACACTTGCTACATTTCTTTGTTATGTGATATCCTGAACGGAGTTACCTGAATAGAGATGCCCTTGGCCAAAGAGTTTCGACAGGGTTGTTCTTTAATACACTGAGGTTTGCCTCTACTGTTGCATTCCAATCTGACATCAAGAAAAACAAGTTTACTATTGCCAGCTAATAGCCTCCACCGCAATAGTCTCCTTCGCATTGGTTTCCGGTGTCAAAACGACGGATGCGAAGGAGACTACCACCGCAAGCATCTTTCTCCATTCTTTTATTTCTGACTCAGCAAAGGAAGCCCATCAGTACTGGCTTACCTCCTGAATGCCTTTCTATTATATGTATATATTTATTYATAAGCAATTGTTCACTTACCATCTGATACTTTTCTGAAATCATCTTGAATACTGGCAAACCCTCCCATAGTACCACTTGTCTGACTGCTCCTGGCCTCCCTGGAAAAAGTATACAGTATTAGCACCAAATTCATTTTGCAGACTTTTGGTTCCATTGTACTTTATGGGCCAACACTACAATTATGTAAAGCTGTTCCACATTCAGTCACATTGCAGGAAAAATTGACTGGGGGAGGGGAGGGAGAAGGAGAGGAGGGTCTGAGGTATGGGAGAGGATGGACGCACAACTGTTTCTCCRGTCACATGGTCTGTCACATACTTTAATTTTGCCATAAATGACCCTAAAGCAGCAAAAGGATTCTCCTTTTCTTGTGTGTCTGTGGACTCCTCTTTATTTTCTTCATCCTCTTCAGAGCCAGTTATTTCAGCCAATGTTGGTAGTACATCAGCAGCTATTTTTGGGGCACCTTCGTTATATAGGGAAAACCCTGCAGAGCTGGAYCGTCTAGAATAATGGATAATAGAATAATGATGCAGTGGGATTAAATGAATAGGAACAATGAAGTGACTTAGGGATGTTTGCAGTCATTGCTAGTTGGCAYTGATTGTGAGTCTCTTTAATGTGCATGCTTATTCATGATGACATCAATGATTGCATATTTCCGCTAAGAGAAATTCAAAATAACAGGAATAGTTTTGATTTCGGAGCATCTTCAAAAATGAGTCTATATACACCTGTTTRGCTACCAGTGAATATCAAAGTCGAGGGAGGGGAAGGTACCTTGTTCTAGTGTGAAGCTTGTCTTGACGATCAAGCTCCTCTGTGAGATGCTGTCTCATTTGTTCAGCTTCAAGAGCGAGCTGTTGTTCTTTAACCTGCTTGTTGAAGTCATCTCGGATGTTTTGAAAATTCATCACTACAAAATCACAAATTAATTTTTTTATCTCAAAAATATATTAAAAAATGTGTTGTTAGCAATATCAGTTAAATATACATTCATTACTTTTATCAAAGGGGTGTGTTTCCACATGCTCATCCATAATGGCAAAAGATAATCATCCTATGGAATTATGGGTGAGCATATCTAGGGCGTGTCCCAACACATGCTTACCTATAATCCCATAATACACAGTGTATCACATTTAAAATCTAAAATAGCAGATAATTGCAACACATGGACATTTTTAATCAAAGGGGCGTGGCATGCCATGTGCTTACCCATAATCCCAGCAAAGATATTTCTGAAAATAAATGCTCCAATGCATATCCAAAGTATGACATAAATCTTGGCTGTGATGTCATCYGCTACTTTGACAAGATCAGTCAGCATCTGATACCAGTGATCCAAAGTGAACAACTGAAATAGGGTTATCAATGCATTGCCGAGAGTACTAAAAAGCAAGATGGATTACTTCAATACTAGTGATTGATAAGACAGTATAGAGAGTAAAACCTGACTGTGCTATCTCACCTGAAACTCTCCTTGTATTTGAGGTCTGTACGACTGGACTTGGAATAAGTGTCAAAAATAACTGTACCAGCCACACCAAAGATATACATGAAAGTACTGAGAAGAATCATTATGAACGCCATGGACTAAACAACAACAAAACAGATGTATAGCCACAACAACAAAACAGATGTATAGCCACAAGTATAGAGCGAATTTCGTATGAGTGGGACACCGTTACCGCACGGTTACCGCACAGTTACCGCACCTGGCCTGCAGAATTTTGGTGAAACAATGGGGCACTAGAATTTGGTTACAGTACGATTACGGACACAGTACAGTAGCGTCCGTTTCCCACTCATACGAAATCCGCTCTAAGAGATGAAAGGGCATCATGTGCATCAGTGAGTTATAGCACATAAGTGCTGTAGTCTTTGAACAGTAACATTAATGAGCTCTATGGTCCGTTTCACATAGTCACTTCTGTACCTTAAAAGCTTTGAGAATAGTCAACACAATAATACGAAGTTGTGCAAATCTTGACACCTGTAATGGAACAAATGACTTGAGRTTAACAACAGAAATGAGCCTTTATTAGTCAAGCCTCTCTGAATGATCTGATTAAATGAGTGACTGTACGTATCCGTATCCATATCGTTATCGTGAAATGAATCTGTAACTGGGTGAATCAAGGCAAGAAACTTTTATTAAGTCTAACGACATTAAACATTCTTCAAAAAGTTACCATTTTTAGAGATCGCAGAATCCTGAACACTCTCAAATTCTCAGCAATAACTGCAAGCTCTGATGTTGTACCTGACCAGAACTTCATGACCTCTGGGACAACAGACTGAAACAAGGAATGCCAAGTTAATAATTGCTTCAGGCAAACTATTTGATAGTACGTACCATTATAGTGACAAAAAAGTCAAATACATTCCAGCCATTGCTCCAGAAACTCCAGAATTCATCAACCCATTTCACAATTATTTCAAGGACAAAGACTGTTAGCACACAGTAATCAAAAACATTCAGAGCGACTTTGATGGTGTCCAGAGACTCATCTTTCAACTGAGACAACTCTGAAATATAGAATTGATAGACAAATGAATGGATGAATGAAATTAAAAATCACCAAATGAAAAAGTAAACACGCAAATAGAAGAATAAATGATTGAATAAATAGAATGAATGGGGTATAAATAATGAATTCATGGAAAATCTCCACAAAGTAGGGGAAAATATTTATGCAGATAAGGTCTCAGGAGGGTTGTGCCCCTTACACCCACCAGCTGGCCCCATCCCTGCAAGCGAATAAATAGATGGATGGACTTATGAATAAAATATATAAATCTGTTATTATAGTATGAGGAAGTGGCTGATCCCATTAAAGAGCGTTGCTCAMTACACATAAAGTGTAGAGCTAGTTATATATATGATATCAAAGAGGCAAGATTTTGCTGTAACTCCGAGTTTCGTGCTACTCACTCATCAGACAGTATGTAATGATTTAATGATATTAAATACTGTCTGATGAGTGCGTAGCACAAAACTCGGAGTTACAGCAAAATCTTGCTTCTTTGATATCATATATATAAATCTGTTATTATCTCTTACCAGCTTGAATCCCAAGAACTAAGGAGTTTGCTATTATCAAAAACRTGATGAAATTTTGAACATGCGGGTCTAAAGTAAAAAACAAAATAATTAAGCTTACTACACAATTTGCTTAAGATAGTCAATTCAATTAGACTTACTGACTACAACAGTGTGTGCCCATGGTCCAAGAGGAATGCTATTTTTGTTTTTCACTCTGTTCAGGCGTCTGTCGTGAAATCGTTGTTCATCTTTTTTTGAATACAACTGGAATTTGACAAGACCCAGTGGTGACTCTTTCAGTAATTTCTCCATCACTGCATCGTCTGTAAGTATTTCAGAAAATAAAATACCTGAAATATAAGCTTAAAAGAAGCTTATTCAATGACTGTAATCAATAATTGCTTACCAAGTATTTCGTTTGAATAATGCGTCGGTGCTTCACTTCCACCTTTGTCCATCAACATATCAAGAAGCTGGAAGTCTTCAATGAGCTTTGACCGAAATATTTCGGCTCTTGGAGAGAGCTCTTCTATCAGATCTTCATTCATAACTACCAAAAGGCTGTTCTKGCAATTTTGGAAATTAAGTAAATTTTATTCTGACTTGATATTAGCTGAAAATGTTTTCTGATAATTCTATCTAGTTAAGTCTATTKCTTCAAAATGGCCGCCAGACTGTGACCTGGCAATCAAATAATTCTCGTCCAATAGAAAATCTTGGCACAGAACACTTGAAAGGTTTGTTGCTCGATTTTATACTTTTCTTTTTTTATAATTCATAACTTGCTTTAATTCTTTTTCTTTCCGTTTTTATCATCAATTTCCTTTGAACAAAAAGTTGTAAGACAAATACAACAAACGGGAATGTTACGGAATGTGGAAATTTATAAAAGCCTTTGCTATGCGAAGCGCGCAAATTCCGCAAATTCCAGATTTGTTTTCATGAATTTTCGAAAGAGGGCTGCAACATAAGCGCGATCATATAAATACTTATATGAATTTTTCTCGGGCGCAAATGACGCTATTCGGGCCATCAATCGCCTTGAATAAACAACATGCCTCCAATGGTCATCCCATTGTCATGTTCGCATATTTTCGATGGAATTTGCAGTTGCGAAACTGCGTTTGGCGTAGGTATAAAAAGAGCGCTGATCCAAGACAAGAACACATTCTTCGTTTACTTCAAGGCAGAGTTGTTGGATTCAGATTTATCATCAAAGTCAAAATGGCGCTYTCTGATCATGATTTACAAGCCAACGTACCTTCTAAGGCAGCCGCAAAACCACAACACCCAAAATACACTGAAATGGTAGAAGAAGCTTGTGGGAAATTGAACGAACGAAATGGCTCTTCTCGGCAAGCCATCCTGAAATACATCCAAGCAAACTTTCCAGTTGGAGAGCAAGCCGAAAGCTACGTCAAAATTGCATTACGGAAAGGAGTTTTATGTGAAAGATTGATTCAAACGAAAGGAAAAGGTGCGAGTGGTTCGTTTAAACTCTCCCCAACCGTAAAGAAAGAAGCTGAGAAAGCTAAGAAGAGCAAGGAAAAGGCAGCAAAGAAAGCCGCAAAAGAGCCAACAAAGAAAAAGTCTAAAGAAGAAAAGGAAAACCTATCGCCAAACAGCGAAGACGAAGCAAAGCCTGTAAAAGCAAAGAAGTCGTCGGCAAAGACTAAAGAGGGTTCAGAGAAAAAGCGAAAATCTTCTAAAGACACCAAAACTACTGCGAAATCCAAAGACTCCAAAGCAAACTCCAAATCGAAGGATAGCACGAAAAAGAAAGAAACCAAAAAGTCGCCAAGAAAGGACACGAGTAAAAGCCCTAAAAAAGTTACCAAGTCGAAGAAGGAAAGCGAAACTAAAAAGGTGAAGAAGACTGCAAGTGGCAAGGCCGTCGCAGCCAAGAGTACAAAGCCAAAGAAAACTGCGGACGCAAAACCCAAAGCGAAGAAGGCCACAACACCTAAAACAAAGAAACCAAAGGCAAAGAAGGTCTGAACTGTTCAATTTTGTAAATAGGGTATTATTTTACACTTGAGGCTTTTTAACTGTTCTTGTTTTGTTCGGAGCAAARCAACTAAAGCATTTGTAAATAGAAGTAAAACGAGGAATTTTTAATTTTAAGTTTCAATTGAAATTCCTGATGTACATTTTCAATTCATTAGTTGAACTGAATGTTACGGAAAACCAGCATGGAATGTATATACAGAATAAGTGGCTTTTCTATTAAAGCTTTTTAAACTACTTTTCATGTGTTTATGTGCGTTGCGAAACAGCAATTTGCAGCATGATTGATTCTTTGCAGATTAGCTTTTTTAGAATCCATGAATGTGCTTGTAGGAATTTTTTGGGCGTTGCTGCACGTGCACGCGCAACATTTGTTACACTTGAATCAAATCGCAGGAAACCTTTCACACAAATTGTAAAGTCCATGGGGCAAACTAGTCTAATTATTGCACGGATATATGACATATATTGCTTTCAATTATGCGAAACCTGAGTTTTTCGAATGCATTTGTACTTGAAATTCTACAAAGCTAATTATTTGAAATAGAATATTTTCGACATTCTCCATGATTTACAAGATCAACTGACATATATTGTTTCTGCAAATTACCATGCTTACATGCTTACCCGATTGCAAAATGAATTCGACACGCGTGCGATACAGCAGGCTTCGCGTTTTGACACCGGAAACGGATGCGAAGGAGCTAGAGGTTCAGGCCTCTCTTTGACGGAGTACTAGTTACCAGTTCCTCAAACGGAGCAAAACAAAGATGGCTGCAAGAATGCTATCCATTTTTTCTCGAAATTTTGCTGGCTTTCCTAGGGGTTTATCCAGGAATAATCTAAATGTAAGTAACAATACTTCTATAACTGAATTCTAGTACTTAGTTTTATCTTGTGCAGCTTTTACGGGTATTTTTCAGATTGTACGCGCGTTTTCGACGACTGACAATGTACAGGTAAAGTTATGTAAGGATGAAGAACGTTTTAYTTCAAATATTTTTATTTAAATTATTTAATTCAATTCTGTTACATCGGTATGAAGTTTATAATAAAGCCAAAAAATCATCATAATAATAAAGACACAATTTTACTATTCTAGAATGAAAAACTCTGGAAAATTGGAAAGCTCAACCATGTTGCAATTGCTGTTCCAGATTTAGGTGAGATTTTTAGAGCATTCGTTAAAGAATAATCTAAAAGATATCAGTGGGTTTTTTTTATTTTCATTTTCAGATAAAGCAACAAATCTCTACAAAAATGTATTTGGAGCTCAAGTCAGTGAATCTCATGTAAGACATTTTTACTCAAAAACAAATACTAGATATCACTCTAATTATGTTCTAGATTAAGAAAAGCATTTAGCAATATTATAATGATGTTATATTCATGTCTAGCCTTTGCCGGAACATGGAGTGTACACTGTKTTTGTTGAACTAGGAAACACTAAAATTGAGGTAAGAGAACTGGATGATATTGAAGGCCTACAACTTCTTAGCAGATGATGATCTCACATTTTACCATTTTTTAATCCTTGTTCATGCCCTCCTTCATGTCATRAAGACTCTACAGTGTATTCCTCTGTATTGYTTGATTTAGCACACAAARCTMACAAAAAGCATACAGAGAAAAAACCTTGGAGCAACTCAAATAACTGGGACAATAGCAGTTGTATACCCACTGCCCTCTACTTCTCATAGATATTATCATTTCTTACTGATACTGCTTGATATTGTCCTTAAAGCTATTACATCCTCTTGGTGAGAAGAGTCCTATCGCAGGATTTCTTAACAAGAACAAAAGTGGTGGCATTCATCATGTATGTATTGAGGTAAGCATATTTTTTTTGTATAGTATTATGATGGAGTACTTTCTTATGCAATAATGATTGTATCATGGTATTCTTTCAAGGTTAAAAACATTTACGAGGCAGTAAAAGATCTCAAGGCAAACAATATTAGAGCTCTTGATCCTGAACCAAAGGTAAAAATTATTAGAAGTGTGGTGTATGGTGCCTTGGTCTTCGCAAAATTTTATTAAAGTTTTTTCTTAATTATCTCAGAATCTCTCAATCATGACAAGGCTTGAAATCTCATAATTTTCTTGATATGTCTCAAACGATTGTCTTTGGTAGACAATAACTATTTCTATGACAAAAATGTGTTCAAATTGTTTTTCCATTTCTCAGATTGGAGCWCATGGGAAGCCTGTCGTATTCCTGCATCCAAAAGATTGTGGTGGTGTGTTGGTGGAACTGGAGGAAGAATAAGAAATATAGATAATTATATAAAGAATGAAATATCTAACTTATTACTGGCGTTGTATTATTATTTTTTAAGAAAATAGGAAAAAATGTTAAAAGCACAGACCCTGGTGGTGTTACACTAGTTAAACTAATATGATCATTGTGTTTGATAAATGACTGAAGTCAAGATGTATTTTAATACCAGTATTGATGAATACAGTATTAGAAATAAAGAAATGATCTAAAGAAAATCAATGAATTTGATCAGTTGGTTCTGTGTTTACCGTAAATTGTCTTCAAATTAACCCTCCAAATTAAATATGATACTGTTAATATTTGTACCATTGGTCCAAGTCCAGCACCATTTAGATGGTAACTTTGCCTTTTTTGTTGATGACCAGTGACAAATAATAGATACCTCTGGTAGTGACACGAGTAAACGCTCTCAGACCGTCTAATGTTGGGATTCCTGTGTTGTTGTTTTTTACGCGCGCGTATTTTTCCCGCCTAAATTTGATTGCACGACTACACACCACTCCTCGTCGATTTATTCCAGATATAAGTTACATCTGATAGATCTAAAATCTACAATAATACTTCAAAAAAAGTCGAAAATGTTTTGGGATTCACCGTAAAATAGACATGTTTATAAATTATGCCCATACAATTTGCTTGCCACTGACAGTTCTGTTTGTACTTTTGTTGCCCTTTTTATCTGCAGAAGTAAGCTTACGTCTGTTTTTCCCAAAAGGAAAAGGTAGGAAATTCTTAAACGTTTTTAAGCGAAAATATTAAAGCTCAACTTAATTTCTTATTATTCCTATTAGACTCTTGGAATTGCCTTATAAATGAAAAAATAACTTACAGATCTCAGACGTTTTACCGATGGACAGAGGCAACTTACAAGCGTTCAATAGATTCTAGCAACGTTGAGTGCGAAGATCGATCTGGTARCTTGATAAAAGCAACCAGACCTAACGCTGTGATAAATGTCGAACCAATCATAGATAAACTGGAAAAGGAAATGGATGTCCTGATTCCAATAACACGAGATAAATATAATAGGAAAGTTTGGGCGGAAGCTAAAGTTACTGAAGTGGGTGGTAGTTCTGCCATAGTTACTAACTATGCTCTGTATGGTTCTGAACCATTATACGTCAAGACAACTCAACCATGTAAGTTAAACTTTAAACTTAACTTCAATTCCTTAACAAAAGTTTTGAATATCAATTCCTTGGCTTCTACAGTATCTTCCTTCATGCATCCCGGGCCTCCTGCTTGTCTTCCTCCATTGATGACCTTCCTCCAGACTTCAGACCATTAATCCATTCATTCATTTCAAATGCCCATTCATTATTAAGTTTGCAGCTCTGCTTTCACTGCCCCTCCAATTGGCATTGCCATAGATACCGTCAATAACCTGATACCTGACAGTGCAATTACAGCATCAAGCAATTATAGGATACCAAGTTACCATGCGCACAATGCAAGGGTATTTAATAAACTTGGTGCTAAGTATGTTTGGTGCAGTAATTTTCCATGGAAAAACGAATGGATAAAGTTTGAATTTGGTGGCTGGGTGAAGCTTTGTGGCATGGGTTACCATGGTAACATACTAGGACGAAGACACTTTACTAGATTCGAGTTACACACTTCTACAGGCACAATTATTAAGGTATATTGGGAACATTGTGATTGTCTAATCTTGGGAAGAGGAGGTGATAGATCATGTTGTAATGAGTTCTTTTTTCTCTGTAGTTTTTCTATTTTATGACATACAAGTACCAATATAAGGACATCAAATTTGATGAAATTATCAACCAAGTTAAAGTGGTTGTACTAGGTGCTCGCCCTAGTCCATGTGGAGCTTTTGAGTTTTTTGGTTACAGGAGTAAGTTGATTGGTCATAAAATAGTTTCATACTGTCAAACAAAGCCCTGATTACATAGATGTACCTGACATGAAACATACAGTTGGATAAATTTTGGCACTTGTGAGGCTGAATCTGTGGATTAAACTGCTTTGGTACCTCAAAATAGATGACGATAAGCTTATTRCTTTGTAGACTCTGACAAAAAACAGCTGACRTCACCRAGCTTTCACTGGCAAGGTATCCGTATAAAAGGTAGACTATCATCATTGTCATCATATTATAACTATCATTTTCAATTTAATCCAATTTATCATCATCATCATCTACACTATGATCATCATCATTACTCTTTTGTATCATCTAATGAATCCAGCATCATGTTTTTCCATTCATCACTTTAACCATCATAAATTTCAGGGAAAAGCTGCGATGGAATGAAAACCAAATGCCCTTCTCATGCCTATTGCCACAGTCATTACAACTTCAATGAGCATTATTGCAAGTGCATTGCAGGATACCAAGGAAAGCCAGATGATGGAAAGTTTAGAGACAGTGATTCAAAATACTCATGCATTGGTATGCTTTCAAATGCTTGTAAATCATTTCATTGATAGCTATTATAGGGGTTTTCTGTTTGATTCAGATATCAATGAATGCAATCAAAGTCACCTTTGCAAGAATCAGGCTACCTGTGTCAATACTCCTGGTAACTACACTTGCAATTGCACAGCAGGGTGGAAGGGATTTTACTGCGACAAAGGTATCACAGTAGGTTATAAAAAGGTTGTCAAGCAAAACATTAGTATTTGATTGACAGCAATCACAGGGAGATTGACACTCAATACTAAAGCAGGGTAGTTGTGAAATTGACTGATAATTGACAATTTTGGTTAGAAGACAACTGACAAATGCGATAAACACTAACCCATGACATTAGTGGCATAAGACACCCCCTATTCAATTCTCCCCTGAAGATAAAATGTAGCTAATCAAATCTAACTCGTCAGATATTGACGAGTGTCTAAATAATCCTTGCAAGAATCCAGGAAAGTGTACCAATACTGTGGGAAGCTATATGTGTACTTGTACAGCAGGATGGACGGGACAAGACTGCGATAAAGGTAGGGAAATGTACCATGTAACGTATTCATCATGATCATCGTCTTTCAGTGCTCTAGTGTAAAAGGCATCTACATTATCTTTTTATTACCTGGTTTTAGCTGGTACAATCATTTGAGATGCTTTATTTATCAACTTTTCTTCTCAATGCTGTCAGAGGAGAGCGCCACAATCAAATATCAGACATTTGATACCGTTTAGCGTTAATAAGGACATGCAACTCTGCTGTAAATATCATTGATAACAATTTCTCTTAGACGTCAATGAATGTTCAAAAACTCCCTGCAAGAACCAAGGAGCGTGCACCAATACCATCGGGAGCTTTGCATGTGCATGTACTGCAGGGTGGAAAGGGAACGTTTGTAGCCAAGGTAATCCAATACAAAAGCGCGAATATCTTGTGTTTACTAATAAGCAAAGGGCATTTTATATATGCTACTGCTCTGTGCATTGATGTTTTGAAGATGTGAACGAGTGCTTAAGAAAGCCNTGTGCATCAGTGAGTTATAGCACATAAGTGCTGTAGTCTTTGAACAGTAACATTAATGAGCTCTATGGTCCGTTTCACATAGTCACTTCTGTACCTTAAAAGCTTTGAGAATAGTCAACACAATAATACGAAGTTGTGCAAATCTTGACACCTGTAATGGAACAAATGACTTGAGATTAACAACAGAAATGAGCCTTTATTAGTCAAGCCTCTCTGAATGATCTGATTAAATGAGTGACTGTACGTATCCGTATCCATATCGTTATCGTGAAATGAATCTGTAACTGGGTGAATCAAGGCAAGAAACTTTTATTAAGTCTAACGACATTAAACATTCTTCAAAAAGTTACCATTTTTAGAGATCGCAGAATCCTGAACACTCTCAAATTCTCAGCAATAACTGCAAGCTCTGATGTTGTACCTGACCAGAACTTCATGACCTCTGGGACAACAGACTGAAACAAGGAATGCCAAGTTAATAATTGCTTCAGGCAAACTATTTGATAGTACGTACCATTATAGTGACAAAAAAGTCAAATACATTCCAGCCATTGCTCCAGAAACTCCAGAATTCATCAACCCATTTCACAATTATTTCAAGGACAAAGACTGTTAGCACACAGTAATCAAAAACATTCAGAGCGACTTTGATGGTGTCCAGAGACTCATCTTTCAACTGAGACAACTCTGAAATATAGAATTGATAGACAAATGAATGGATGAATGAAATTAAAAATCACCAAATGAAAAAGTAAACACGCAAATAGAAGAATAAATGATTGAATAAATAGAATGAATGGGGTATAAATAATGAATTCATGGAAAATCTCCACAAAGTAGGGGAAAATATTTATGCAGATAAGGTCTCAGGAGGGTTGTGCCCCTTACACCCACCAGCTGGCCCCATCCCTGCAAGCGAATAAATAGATGGATGGACTTATGAATAAAATATATAAATCTGTTATTATAGTATGAGGAAGTGGCTGATCCCATTAAAGAGCGTTGCTCAMTACACATAAAGTGTAGAGCTAGTTATATATATGATATCAAAGAGGCAAGATTTTGCTGTAACTCCGAGTTTCGTGCTACTCACTCATCAGACAGTATGTAATGATTTAATGATATTAAATACTGTCTGATGAGTGCGTAGCACAAAACTCGGAGTTACAGCAAAATCTTGCTTCTTTGATATCATATATATAAATCTGTTATTATCTCTTACCAGCTTGAATCCCAAGAACTAAGGAGTTTGCTATTATCAAAAACGTGATGAAATTTTGAACATGCGGGTCTAAAGTAAAAAACAAAATAATTAAGCTTACTACACAATTTGCTTAAGATAGTCAATTCAATTAGACTTACTGACTACAACAGTGTGTGCCCATGGTCCAAGAGGAATGCTATTTTTGTTTTTCACTCTGTTCAGGCGTCTGTCGTGAAATCGTTGTTCATCTTTTTTTGAATACAACTGGAATTTGACAAGACCCAGTGGTGACTCTTTCAGTAATTTCTCCATCACTGCATCGTCTGTAAGTATTTCAGAAAATAAAATACCTGAAATATAAGCTTAAAAGAAGCTTATTCAATGACTGTAATCAATAATTGCTTACCAAGTATTTCGTTTGAATAATGCGTCGGTGCTTCACTTCCACCTTTGTCCATCAACATATCAAGAAGCTGGAAGTCTTCAATGAGCTTTGACCGAAATATTTCGGCTCTTGGAGAGAGCTCTTCTATCAGATCTTCATTCATAACTACCAAAAGGCTGTTCTKGCAATTTTG